CATGCGTCATGTCCGCCGCGCCGGGAGAAAAGAATCGTCGGAGCCGGAGAAAATCGTATCCGATAATTCGCAGTTTCGCTCGTCTCCCCGAGCCGGATTAACCGCGAGGAATAATAATACGCGACAGACAGACAGACAGACAGACGGACGGAGAGAACGACGACTGAGAGACGCACCGCGGAACATCTCGCTCTCGTGTTGTTGAAACAAGCGAAAATACCCGGCCGCTCGCAACGGCCGAGAGAGTGGCCTGATAGTGCAGCTGATATGTCTCATTAACGTGTACACACGCACGTACACAAAGTATACACGCGGTGCATTAATAGCGTCGTTGTTCGTCGTTGATCGTGCGCGATCAATTTCCTCAACGGTATATGCCGAACAGAGAAAGCCGCGCGAGACACAGGTGCGCCGGCGGCGCGCGTGTGTTTGTGAGCCGAGCGAGTAAATGAGATGCCATTCGGTGGCGGACGACACACGGCGTGGTGCGCGGCACCGCGCCGAAAGGCACAGGTCCTGACCCACTTGCCGGAGCCGGTCACGTTCACGATCAGGGATTGAAGCTCCGCGTATATTCTCCTCGGTGTAGAGTATACCTACCTCGAGCGGCCGGCATCACGCCGGCGCGACATAATGATTATCCCACGGGATCTCGCACGGTGCCGCGTCGATGCCGCGGATGATCGCCGCGGGCGCAAGTAGAGACGAGATGACGACGAGGAGGCATGGGAGGCACATCCTCTCATCCCCTGCTCTCCTCGCCCGTCTCGTCTCGTCTCGTCCTATCTCGTATCTCGGAATTCTCTCTCAGGCAAGAGTCATCGGGCGAGCCGAAAGTACCGTTCGAAACCGTGGTCTAATACAGCTCGGAACAGTGCGTGACCGTACCTAACGCCCGGAATTACCTTGACCGAAAAAGCGGCGACCTCGAAACCGCCGCTCCATATACTTGTGTGTGCGCGGTGTATTGTATTTTTCTTCCACTTGTGACAGTCAAACGCCGGGCCGCCGCGCCACGCCGCGCTTGCAGTTTCACATCGTCAGACGACTCGGCGGCAGTCGGCGAATCTAGCCTCGTCGTGTTTGAAATGTCACTCGAAATGTCGTGTTGAATGTACATTTCTGCAGGATCGATAAACGTGCGCGCGTAGTATTTAAGTAAAGATGAGGTGGGGATTTTCAAAGCTTCACGCGCGTTTGCTCGGGTCGCCGCAGCTCGTTTGCTGCGCGATACAAAACTTGGCGTCCAGCAAATTATTAATAGATCGCGGAACTCTTCTTTCTCTTCTCTGTTATATCATTGTGAACGCAGGTCAGGCTCGGGCTATTTTTATTACGCGAGATATTACTTCACGAACACTAATGATATATAAAGTAACCGCATAAACGACGCACGTAAAAATACACGAGGTCGATCGTCGTGCGATGGAAAACCTCACAGAAAATTGTCACAGGGATGTTAGTCGTACATTTTAATTTTGTGTTTGCTGACGTTTCCTAACGCTGATAATCGCCTCCTCAAGTCGCCCGACAGCTCTAAAAATGCGCGCAGGCGAAATGCTGCGTTCAATCGTCGATTAGAAAATAAGCCTCGAAACGGGCTCTCACTTAAACGTGCAACAATATGAGGAAGTCGGGTTTCACGATATTACTCGGATGCATATAGTCGAGCGTTAATACAAAACAGTACCCGAAGTGAAAGAGCCATGAGTAGCCGAGACCGTTATCAATTACGCATTCCTGCGTTGCAAGGCTGCGTTTAAGAGAGCCACACATGGATTCCTCGGGAGTCGTCATAATTTCACCATGATTATACGGGACGGAGATAGTTCCGTGGTTTCACCATTTCACACGAATTACAGGATAGAATCGTCAATTATTGACATATGTCTGCAGCAACGACGATGTCGTCGTCGTCGTCGTCGTCGCGGCGATGTATTGCCGTTGTTTCAAAATTGTTGATTTCGATGAATTGAAGTTTCTACGGCGAAGCCTAATCAAACTCTATTAGCAGTTTCCTACAGCTATTATCGTTCGCTATCGGAGCTGCAATATTGATAACGAGTGCCTATTAAGCTGAGGATAAAGTACCTGCCGAGAATATGCAGGAGAACACTTATGGAGGTAGTTAGCGCTATCTAGGTGAAACGTGTATTATCTAAACATTATTAAAAACCACTCGCATATTATACATGTAATGTAACAGATTTATCGCGAATGCAATAAATGTCACACTGATTTCTCTAGAAAAGAAAAGAAAAGACTGAATATCTGCCGTACGATAATAATTATTTACACTAGAAGATTTGTGCTTGGAGAAAATGCTTATTCTTTTTATACTTTATATAGTTGATAATCTGTACTAATTATTTTACTACCATTAATTCTATTGTACATGTCTCTGTAAAATTATTCCCTCTTCAATATATATGTATTTTGTGGAAGTGAGTGAAAATCGAGTTTATAGATCCCCCACTTCACCCTGCCCCCCGGTCCGTGTGTGATTAATCACACGGAATGGACGCGGTCTCAAGACGATCTGACTCCGAAATGAGGTGAAATTCGGCTACCATGTGCCAATTAAGATTCCTGGTAGCGAATCGCCATCCGCGAAAGCCGCGACGTACCTTGTCGAACATTTCGTCTCGCTCCGATTACACAAATGGGATTACGAGAGTAACCTGTTTCCTTTGTGAACGGAATATTAATGAGCGGCGGGACATACCAAATCATACACGTTGTTTCCCAAATTAATGCTTAACAGTTCTAAAACAGTCAGCTAATTGGAAATGCATAATGAATTAACCGCTGCATGTGCACAGATGATAATATCTGCAGTGCTTTTTATAATTACGATTGATGAAGAGAGAGAGAGAGAGAGAGAGAGAGAGAGAACGCGCGCAATGCACAAGGTATTCTATTTAATGTGGAAACATTTAAGAATAAAAAGAATTATGAAATGCGTTCAAGCTCACACATCTGTTTTGTTTGATGTGTTAATTAAAAAAGAAACAATATTAAACGTGAGACGAATCACACGAAGTGTGTAAAAATCTACGGCCACACCGCGCTAATAACATCAGCACATCACGACGCATCCTGTATGCTCGAAACCATATAATCGAGATCGGGCGATATTGCAATTTCGCACGCACAACTCGCATTATCACGGTAACGAGACACGTTTATGTGAGTTTCGGGCTTTTCCCGGTATTGCAAGATAAAACACGATAAAGCACGAGATCACTTTCGTTCGGCCGTTGGGCCGAAACTACACATTCCCCCTTATCTCATTCCGCGAACTCACCGGTTGATGACAAAAAAGAATGAATTTTAACGAGCGGAATAATCGATCCGTTAATTAATAGCTTTTTCACGGAGATATGATACATTTATACGCACAAAAAAGCTATATGCGCGCATGCACGCGTATATACTTGTGTTTACGCTTTTCATCCGATAATCTTCATTCCATTAACGAGCGCGTGTCATTAGCGGTAATGAGATAATATCATTAGGGGTATACGGACCTTTACAGCAGACAGACAGACGACACACACGCGTCTATCTCGTACACTACTCTATTCGTTACACTACTCTATTGTAATTATCCTCTTGTATCTGAAAGTAGAAACATTTAATACTACTCGCACGCGCGAGAAAGAAAGAGAAGTCAAAGGCGCGCAAACGTCGGAAGTTGAACGTATATTACGAGTATATTACGTATTAGTTGCTGATGGGGCACACATAACGGAAGAGAAAAGTTGGAAAGGTCGCGCATCAGATGGCTTGACAGAAAAATCTAATGACTGAAAAATTTTAAGACAATTTCGAGACTCAAAGAAGCTCGCTTGGACCAACATAAGTGCCTGAAAATTTGAATATTTAAAATTAAATATTTTCCTCTTTTTAAACAGTACCTTTTATCCAATTTTACATATATTTATCCCCAAATTTATATTTAAATTTATCATTAGGACAATTTTATATAAATTTGTCCAGTTTTTTTAAAAACGGCAGTAAAAACGAAATATTCGTCAAATTAATTTCAAATTTTCTCGTATGTAATTAATCTTTTTTTTATAATTACTTCAGTAAAACGTAAAAATGGTGAATTCGTATTTAACTGCTACTTGCTCGAAAGCGGCCGCCGAGCCGCTAACACTCATTGTAAACCGGCATGAAAAATTGCGCTTATATTACGACTCGCTTTTCCGCTCTATATCTCCTTAATAAAGAAAACTTATTAATATCCAAGAGAGTTATATGATGAAGACGGAGCGTTCTGGAATTCTTCCTTTTTTCAACGCGTAATAGGGGGAAACTCATTTATCTCTTTCAGGCCGCTCTCAAAGGCAAAATGCGCACCATTACGCTCCTCTTCTAATTATAATAAGCCAAATCCCTTTTATCACTCTGCTTATTGCTGAAACCGCCGACCTTAATTTTGATCATGTAGCGAACATACGAAGCGTGACGAGGGGGAGTGGCTCGGGGAGACGATGAAGAATACAAAGGGACGATATTTTGACAATTTTCCGTCAGGAATATCGGTACCCGAGAGAGAACGGATTTCGCGCGGCTCCGTGACAATGTTATCTTCGTCAGAACTATGTTCTTTACGGTCTAACCATGACATTTCCTTAACTGTTTTCCACGAGCGTGTGCTCGGCTGGATACGTGGAGAACAAATTTTCACGCGCATTAGCAGACCCCCGGAGATATCCCGTGGTCCGTTAGCGATGCCTATCGGTACCTCCGCTCAAAGACGAAGAAACCGTCCGAGGCGTTCCAGAGTAATCCGCCGCTCTCGTTATCAGACGCGAATGCCGCTTTCGTGTGATACGCGTAGCGCACGAGTGTCGTTAACGTGACTCGGCATCAACGGAAGTATCAACCGGTGGCCGATGGTCTGTGTGTGTGTGTGTGTGTGTGTGTGTGTGTGTGTGTGTGTGTGTGTGTGTGTGTGTGTGTGTGTGTGTGTGTGTGTGTGCATCATCAGGCAAACATCTCTAGCGATTCCGTCAGCTGACCGGCTACACGACTCTTCATCCGTCCGATTCCGAACCGTCCGAATTCCGCCAAAAGCGCCGCTCTTGCCCGCGCTGTCTCTCGAAAGAGGATACCGCCGGGGGGAGGACCGCGACCGTTCGTCTGGTTTCCACGGCGTATCGCGTAGCGTTTCCTGAATGGGCAGACAGAACCTGGAGCGGCCAAGACGGCCGTTGGATGAGTAGGACAGTGTGTCGCCATCCTGCACGTTGGGGCCCCGTTCTTCTCCACGTGACCTGGCCACTGACCCACTTTGGTTTCTCCAAGTCTCCCCCTTCTCTCTTCCTCTTTCTCTCTTCCTCTCTGCTCTATCTTTCTTTCTCTGACCGATGGTGCCCTCTCTTCTTGCCCCTGCCCTTCTCTCTCTTCTTCTTCCTCCTCCTCCTCCTCCTTCACCGTTGCCACCTGTACCACCTCCGCCCCCTCGACAGCTCCTGTCCTCCGCGAAGCGGTCCCCCTTCTTCCTCTTCTTCGATCGGACTACCGTCGAACGCGCCTCCGTTGCCTCCACCATGAACGACCTCCACCACCGACCGGGCATCAGCCACCACCACTGATCTTCGTCGTCGAAGGCGCCGCTTATGACTTAGCCATGCGACTCCAGCACATGCCGTGGCCAGACAGGTACCATCCCGTTTGCTAGCCGGATGGACGATCGTCGCGCGGTACAGATCGGTCGGAGCGCGTAAGAGTCAACAGACGAGACCGCCGGGGACGAGAGTGCCCTCGATCGCCGATGCTGACACGGTCGGCGAGTGCTCGGGGCGCGCGCGACACAGACGGAATCCGAGGATCGCGGGGATCGCGAGCACCGACTCGAAATCCGATCTCGAGCAAGACCGCGACCGGGGCAGGTAGATCCGCGATCGGTAATTGGCGTAGCGCGTGGTCGGCAAGCCGATCGGCAAACCGCGACGAAGTTCAGTGAGGAAGTGCGGGAGGTAGAGCGGACGGTAGGAGGCAACGGTGAGCCCGGAAGGCAGGAGCTGAAGAAGGTATCCGGAAGGGACGTTTTGAGCAGTGGCAGCAAGGGCAAGGTCGCGTTTTCTCTGCGCAGCGGAAGCGGACCGTCGGCGGAGCGGGCTCGTCTGCCGGAATTTAAGCGACGTTATGAGACGCGCTTAACGCGCGGGCCCTCTCGCTTGCAAGCAAGGTTAATGCGCACGGTAAGTGGCTCGGCTCTTCAGGGGTTGTTTGATCGATGGCGGGGCCGGTGAGACGGATGACGGAGGTCGTTCCCGTTGCATGCTGGCTTGAGCGGTTTGCGTCGCTTCGTCTTTGTCACGCATTCTCGTTCCGGTGGTCTTTGGAGAACGCGTATTTGCATTTGAATGGACCGGAAAGTTCATTGTCGCGACTCGATATTATAATTGTGGATTATGTGCGCTTTGATGGAATTGCGTGTGTCTGCGACCCGCGAAAAATGTACTCGCGATGGAACACTCGTGCGGGACTTATCAGAGAGGGTCCCTGGCGATAGTTCGTGTTAATTTAACGCCGGTGATTATTTAATTCGCCAATTTATTACCGCCCTTTCGGTAAATTATTGGAAAATTCAACGTGTTGCCGCAAAATCGGCTTATCCCATACGATTAATATACATATATTCGACGATTCGGTGGATTGCGCGCGCGCACGAATAAATGATTAATTAATTCGCCGGAGAATTTGTATGTCATGCGATAGGCGTCGTTGCAAAAGCTCGAAGCTCGCTTGATCTTGATTCGTATTCACGGGATGGAGGGAGAAAATGGCGTTGGACTCGTCGTCGTCGTCGAGGGGTGAACCGGGGTCGCCCAGGTTCGCAGGATCGACCTGATGTCGCGGGAGAAAGTGCAACGGCGGGGTAATCGCGCGACGATGGAATTCAATATCGGCGAAGGGAACGCGCTTGATCAGACCGGCGCGGCGGCGGAAGATCGGAACCAGGACGTGATCGGAAATCGGCGTAATCGCGCGGACGATGATCTGATCGTGGAAACAGGAGAAAGCCTCTCCTGCCGACATTGGGCGACGGTAAACGAGGCATTCCGTACACTTCTATACGTAGAAGAACATTTGGCATGCTCCGTTGCACCGTGGCGTTTCAATCTCTCTCTCTCTCTCTCTCCCTCTATCCATCTCTTTCTTTCTGCCGCCCCTTTCTCCTCCTCCGCCACGAAGACGTCTAGTTTTTCCCCGTGTTCTTCATCCACGCGTCGTTAACCGCGCGACGTGGACGCGGCACGGCTCGGCGCGTTCCTCACGAGCTAGACGCCGAAAGTTGCAGGAAGATCTCCGGCGCACAAATCGATGACGCAAGTAACAGGTATCGACCTGGCTCGCGCGGACTTGCCCTCGTTTGCCGGCAGACGAGATACGCACGATGCACCGAGCATGAAGCGCACACCTGAGTCACGAGGAGTCAGTACGGCGAGCACGCATCGACGTGTGCACGAAGCAACCGCGAGATTGGCGAACACGGCGAATCACGCGTTTCAGACGACACGCGATGTCGTTTGGTACAGACTGTCGAGCTGATTGATTTCGAGCGCAATTTGAATCGCGCGATGGAAAAATATTCTGATCTCGAGGCATTGACATTCGATCCTCAAGCAGAGTTTACGGGCGGTTTCTTCTTATGGGATTTATGGATGTTTCATATTCCCGGCTATCTTCATCGAAAGAGAGGAGAAAATGGAGGTGTGTACATGTTTGTAATTTGATTGATACGCGGCACAGGATACCACCGTTTCTCGGATGCCCACGTTTACCGAATTATTCGGCTCTTATCGGCTCTTATTCATAAATTGGGGAATTCGATGGGAGACGGACATTCGGAGGATCGTGAGCGTGATGAACGGATTGAGACGCATTTTCACTTTTCGCGGACCCTGAAATTCCTCCGTGTCTGTCGAAAGAGACTCGACGAAATCTCACACATTGACCCCGAGCAGTACGCTTAACGCACACATCCTTTACGCACGTGCACGTCTGACGATGTGTACCTAACCCAGGTATGCGGTGGCGAGCTGTAACGGTTGTCGACGCTTCGACAGTTCGTTGTCGCTCTTTCCAATCATGTAGGCTGATTTGTGCATTTAACGTTTCTACGCGATGCCTTTTACCGTTTAACCCGCGGGAGAAAATTCGTAGCCGTAACACACGGCGCCTTCATGGCTAATTTAGGATGGCGCGCGAGCGCTCGAACTGGTCGCAAAAAAACGGGAAAAAATAATCCGTTACCAAAGCACGTAAATCTACCTCGCGACTCTCGCTCGAATGTAACGTAAGCAACGCGTGCGTTCTGTCAATGCGATTTTCATGTAAAATAAAAAGTCATTCGAAAGCGATTTTCCCGCCCCCAAACTCTCGGGCTATTGTGCGAATTCTCACGTGACCCAAAATACTGTAGCCAAAAAACGGATGTCAGAGAGGGAATATTTTACGTATATTCTAATCGACGTCAATAGTCAACAGAAACGTTACACTAATATTGTAATTTCCCACATAACATTGTAAGTGTTACGAGACAGAGTCTCGTCTTATGCCGCGTCTGCATTGTTAAGTGGGAAATTATAACATTGATGTAATCTTACTGTTACTCGATGTTCACTGGGACACACAACTAACTAACTAGGAAACGCAATTCTGACCGTCTGAAAGCATCTTATACAATCGACTGCTACGTGGTACAATGATGTACCAAGTTCCGTTAAAGTGCCAGATTTTTTTTAGATTGAGATGAGGTTCCCTCGTAGCGGAACTGCGTAAATAAACCGCAAAAACGGTCCCACGGCCTTCCGTGCGAGCATTGGCACGTGAACAACGTTAATGCACAATACCGGCTGTCACTTTCGATGTTTTATGCGGGAGACCGGTAGACCCCGGCAGAGGCTGTCGTGTCGAGCCGAGAGGCAGGAGCCGATCGGTTTTGCACGAACGACCGCGCTCGAAATGTCTGAAACGATCGAGTGAAAGCGGAGACTGTCTGCGGATCACAACGCGCCTCAAGTCGTTTCACGGTCTCGTCGCGGCTTCTGTGATCCATTCGAATGGCACGGATTTCCTACTTTCTCGATTATTTCGCTAATCACCGTCGCTCGATAATCGACGCTCGTATTCGCGCTCGAGGAGAAAATGGAGGCCAAAGATGTCCCCTTCCCCCACCCGCCGGTCGGTTCCGATTAATTTGAATCGTCCGCGATTGCGAATGCGCTCGAAACGAGGTTGATCGTGAATCTTTTCTTCGCAGCGTAGCGCGAAGAAAAGAGAAAAGAAAGCGAACGAGAGAAAAAAGAAACAAATCATCCTTTCTCTCATTTGTCAAATGAAATCCGGCCGTCGAGTCGTCGGCGGAGAGGAAAGGAAAAAAGAAATACGTTTAATTAATACGACAAAGGCATCGACTATTAATGAAGACGTCATTAACGTTCGAATCTGTAATAACGGTCGTTAGTGTCTCCCGTCGGTTTTTAAAGCAGTCATTAACTGCTGGGCGCGGATCGCCCGTCGGCGATCGATAGCGGTTCCTTCGAACCCTGTTCGAATTCAGGATCTCTGCGAGGATCCATCAGCAACGACAGATTGACGACGCGGTCGCAAGGACCGTCGAGAGCGCGAGGCTGCGCCACGCACAATCGGGTCACCCAGATCCAATAAACGCGAGAGACGCCGAACTGAGCTTTCTCCGCGGTCCCGTCGAGCTATGCGTTCCGCGGCACGCGTGAAGGTGCATCGACGTCGCGCTCGCCTCGCGCACTCTCGTCCCCCCGACATTGACGGACGGCCAATGAACGCGGAAGAATTTTCGACGTGGAGTCGACTTCGACGAGAGAGGTCGACGGAGAGGATCTCGGCGAGGATCTCGGTGAGGATCCGCGCCAGCGGCGGCGGCGGCGGCGGCGGCGGCGGCGGCCAACGAGGATCCTCGCCGAACGCGTGGGACCCTCTCGGCGCGTTTTCCCGCCGTATACATTATTTTTTTCCCCGGCTTGCCGAGAATTCCCGCGAGCGCGTACGGCAGGTACAACGCGCGCGACGGCGCCTTGCCGGCAGTAAAACACACCGCGGAGGACTCGTTTACCATTGATCGCCGCGGCAGATAGCTCGGAAAGTGCGCGGGGAATGTTAACGTCGTCTGTCCAGCGCTGGCTGCGACCACTACCACCGCCACCGCCACCGCCACCGTCAAGGGGTGGAAACATTACAACGACGAGAACGAGTGGTAGAGAACGCGCCTGTGGGGAAACGGTTTTAGAAGAGCGCGAGGAGGAATGCATGCGGTGGAGAGTATTTTTAATTAAAAACACGAGACTCGCGTGGAAATATAGGAAGTGAAGATTAATATGAGTAAGAGAGAGAGAGAACGCGAGCAAAGGCGACCAACAGAGGCGCCTAGCAGATTTTAAATTTATCGCGCTCGGCTGACGCACACTATTTTCAGTACAATGAGGTTTGATTATACTCGCACAATATACGAACAGACGTGTGAGCAATGTCCTTCGCATTGCGTAGAAATTTGCCCGCAGCGCAGATTATGACTAGATCCCATTCTTGTCGCAAGCATACGGTTCTCCGTTTAAAACCGACACAGAAATATCACGGGAACTGGCTATTTTGCTTCACACAGTCGCTAACGTCTGTTATTGACAGACCACTGTCAGGTCGCGATTGAATGGTACGCGTTTACGTTTAGTTTACAAATATATAAAGTAATGTTACACGATCGGAAGCGCGCACCAGAGATGTTCGTAGCGGGGTAAAAATCGAGGGAGAAATGACACTCCAACCACGTGAAATACAAACCGGGAGATATATCGGGAAAACTTTGGGTTCCCCACTTGGAATCGCGCGTTTGAAACATTACAGTTCTAACTTGAACCTCGATTCCGGGAAATCATCCGGGATCCAAAGTAGATCCCGAGAAAATGCTCCACGCGCGGCCGGTCTTATCCTTCGTCCTTCGAGATTCGCGAAATGGAGAAAATGCCGGGGGAGGGGGAGAAATGGATTTCCCGCGAACGCGTAATCGCGATCGATCGCTTCATATCGCGCGCTCGCCATTTTGGGGGGGAATGATTACCGCGCTCATGTCTCGCGTTCGTCTTCGTCGCGATCGACGCGAAGAACGGCGAGAACCAGGAAGCGCTGCGCGCGAAAACGGAACACCTCCCAACGAAAGTGACTTCCGCATGCTCACACGACCGCGTGTGTGTGCGAAGGGCGAAGACGGCGGTGTTAACAGTGTATAACGCGCCGGTGTAACGTTCCCACGACGTAATCCGTACAAACGCGCCCGCGACTATGTTATTACCGCTGACGCGATAACGCCGCGTTATCGTCGCGCGATCGTCCCTGAGCCGCGGTAACTGTGAACAATGTAAACCACCGTGTTTAACCTTACCGTTTAACGTTCAGCGCTCAGCCGCGATGATTTACGGACGGATTATGCTAATAGTCCGGCTGCATCGTAATTTGCGCGCGCTGCTTCATTTCTGCGCGCTCTGTGCGAGACTCGCGCAGGGGAGACGCGCGAAAGTAAAATCGGGCGCGTGCCCGATGATTGTTACTCCTTGTCGTCCCTATGGAACTCGCGAAATGCGAATCGCTCTCGTCTCTGTGACGCGCTGTCGCGGGGTCTCTCTCATTCTCTCTCGGCTTTTCCTCGCGCGCGCTCGCCGGAACAATTAAAACGTAAATGTGCTATCGCGCTGTATTTAGAACGAATTGACGCGGCGATAATGCGGCGCTTAATTAAATTAGCATAACACGTTTGATCGACGAGTCGCGTTAATCCGGCCGGATGTTCCGATACTTTTGGGTTAGCAGGCGAGAGAGGTTTAATAGTCAACATCGGTGCTCTCTCGCATCGCGCGTCCGCCGCCACCGCCGCCGCATCGTCCAGTTCACTTTAACGGATCGCACTAAAAATCAGAGCGGCACCATTTATACGGAGTCATCGTGTGGCTTGTGCGTTAAAACCATTATTCAGCACAACCCAAGCGTCACTCGCTGTTTTATTTAAATCCCACGACAAGCCCGTTGTGCGCCGCGATTTGTCTCAATCAACTGCGATCAAAACCAGATTTCACGTTGCGCGAGAGAGCGCGCGCACTCGCGACCACAATGAGACTCGCTTTCTCGCGACCCACGCTCGCAATTACCTCTGGAATTTCAGGATACACAGAGAATTTTCGAAATGTCGAGCGGCGTTCCGGGGATCGGCGCGGTGGTCGTCTATAATTTCGAAATCTCGCGATTCGACGTGAAACGCGCGAGCTCGAAAGCCGGAATCCTGAAATTCGCGTGCTCTCCTTCGCTCTTCTCTTCCTCTCGCGACTCGGTTTTTGAATGAACGGCACACATCGATAATCACGTACACACACGGTATTCAGGATTCAATTAATTAACCAGAAGATTTTTCGAAATCTTCGGAATGATCCTTACTCGAGCGGTCTTCGCATGATCAAGGCGTACTCCGGTCGTCTGTAACCACCTTGTAAATCATAAGAATGACCGAGGACGTCTCTTAGGTGCACTAGGAAAAATGTATTGTTGCGTGAACCAAAATTTTGTTGTAACAACAAAATAATTTGGTTAAAATATGCCCAACAAAACTGTTTAGTTCCTGTAAACAAATATCTTTCTTTGATTACGATTTGTTCATATAACGTAATAATTTTGTTATAGCAACCAGAAAGCTTTAACTATATGAATTTTGTTAAAAATACTATAATTTTTTCTTAATATATAAAATCTAAATTTTAGTGCACAGAAAGACAAAATAGTATTCATTGGGCATTATTTTAGTTTATGTAAAATAATACTTTGTTATTATGTAATTTTTATGGATAAAATAATTAAAATGCTTAATTTTTATACATGAAGTCTAAGAACAAAATCATTTGGCCCGGAGAACAAAGCAGAAAAATATATTTAATTGAGACAATTAAATATTTTGTTGTATAAAATAAGATATTTGGTTGCTATTAAAAAATGCCTCAACTAAACAGTTTTGTTAGAGATGCTAAATTTTTTTTCATAGTGTGTGCACTGCTGGAGTCTTCGGTCGCGTCGGTGCACCTATCCTGGTGCACGATTTATCCTGGATCTTCTCAGTGACAGTTCGGTAAGGTGACTCCGATCACTCACCCTTGCCCCGCGACGAAACAGTGGGCTTTAATGGGTTACCCAATAAGGGGCCGCGGGAATGGGACAGAACGGGGGCGAATTGGTAGAACTGGGTTAGCAGTGCCTTGGTGGAGCTGCGTTAAAGCGATCAGCGGCGCTCGCCAACTCATTCTTTCTCTCTCCCGCGCTTGTCGTCGTCCGTTCTCCGCTCATCTCTCGCGTTCGTCAGAGCGACCTCCACTCCCCGCCGCGAACATCTCACCGGCGACGTTACACACCTTCAGGTTCCTCCGATACCCCACACTTCGTCCCCGTTCCTCCTCCGCCCGGTTGCGACTATCGCACACGTCGGGCCTGTGACTGACTATAACGGGATCCCGGTAACACGCATGCAGTCCGCGCGCGCGTGAGTGTGCTCGCGTGTGAGAGCGTGAACCTCCTGCCGAGAGGAGGAAGAGATAGGTCCAGGGCAATGTTCCTCCTCATTTTTCGAGCGGCGCGTGAGTGCAGGAGGCCCGTGTGTGGTGCAGGCCTAAGGCGTGGAATTACGTGGCGATTTACGGGAACGTGTGCGATTCGGCTAAAGTAAGGACGGCAAAATCGCGTCTCGTCTCGTCGCTCGTCGCGTCGCGGTCTACGTTTAACGATGTCGTTCCGCCTCGCCTCACCTCGCCTCGTCTCACGCCTGATGTCACTCGTCTGCTTTTTTAATACGGCTATCGCTGAAACGCGATTGTAAACTTTCAAAATGGCCGCGCGTGTACTCCTTGTAAACTATAACAGCGCCTGAAACGTCGGTTCTTTCGCATCTTGTGAACATTATTAATAGACCTGCTCGCGTACACAGACACGCACACGGCTACACTATTTAAGCTTTTCTTTTCATGTGCAAGCATAATATGCACAACGTAGAGTAAACACGGATCGATGCCTCCACTACTGCGTATGTTACACACAGAAGAGGCATCGATCCGTGTTTGTGAAATATTATGGACCTCGGTGTTAACCCTTCACATATTCAGCCTCTTCGTAAAAGACATTAAATTATTAACCATTGTTGTACTCGCGTCCGACCGTGTGGATCAATGGATTACATAAATTAAAACGGCAAGCTGCGCGAACCGATTGTTAAGCGACATTGCGCGCTTTACAATAGAATTAATTTTCATAAAACCGTGCGCACACTGCGGCGGTGGCATTTGTCTTGGGCATATATTCGCGTCATAATCGTACCGAATTTAATTAAAACCGCGATTTGCAATTCTATTTGATGTGACATTACATTACATATTATCTTTCGATTTAATACAGTAATTAATATTTATCTTGTGCATAACGTTTGCGCGCATGTATCGCGCATTACGATCGCTCGGCTTTTCAATTAAATTCTAAAAATATGTCGGCACATGTACTTACATACAAAAAAACCGCGGGCTTTTCAGCGACAAACAAATATACGATTTAACGCGTATATGTGTCGTGGCAAAATAAGTAATTATCAGTAGGCAGGTAGGTGGATAAAACGTAAAGTCGATTAAGCGAGCCCCAGGGCCGGTGCGAGCTCATCATCTTCACGGCTTCCAGTTTTTCTGACATACTCGCGAGGCTGATATTTCTGTACCGTTACGAAGGACAAATATGTACACCGATCTGGTAACCAGATCTGGAAAGTTACGACTGGCGAACGATCGCCGTATATCGAGAGACCGAACTGAAAACGATGCGAATTTTACGCGGCGGTCGATCGGCGCGGAGGTTTATTCTCGCAAATTGCACGATCGGCGTCCCGGAAGAAAAATAACGCGTAATAATAAAACAGGTATCTCGTTTCGACGTAACGTATCTTTCGGTTTCGACGAATTTTGTACCTGTATTCATTGATATTATCATAGAAGCGGGGGGAATAAGTGTGTGTAGCGCTCGATGCGCAGCTCGATTGTCCAATTATACGTGATATCGTGAGAGGAATTCCAACTGCAAAGGGAAAATTGCAACCTGCCGTCTATTTTCTCTCACGTGGATACACAAGTGCATGTGTATTTTACGTCGCCTTTTACATCTCAAAGTCGGGTTTAACACTGAAGTGTACTTTAAGACCGTCGTCGAGCCGGCGTCACGGGCCACTTTTATAAATAAATTAACGTTCACTTAAAGCAGAGCTACCTTTATGCTCGAGGAGAATTTTGTTTTTCTTTTCCTTTTCTTTATTTAACGCCGTGCTAATCTCTCCGAGACATTTAATATCCCCTCCACGTGTGTAGAATGTTCTCGAGACGCCTTCGCCAAATTCAAACAGCATATTCTGCTGATCGTATTTAGCGAAAAAAAAAATATCTCATAAGTCCAAGTCCGTAAATGCGTCGTTTCTTCGAATTACGCGCGTCAGTTGTGCATTAGCGATGCACCCGAATCTCCCGAGATATAAAAATGTCTGTTTCTTGAATAATTAATATACCGATCTGCTTGATTACAGATGGCTGTTGAGAAAGGTGTATGTTGGTGTCCGCTGTTCGTCCTCCTCACTCTGACATGCATCTCCTCTCACTCATGGACGCCCCAGAATGAAGGTAATTAGGATAATTGGTACCGACATGCATTCTGCTACGTTCGCGTTAGCAATTATCGTTAATAGCGTTGAACGATATTTTATCGCCGGTTGGGGGCAGCTTGTCGCCCCATGTGTATCGTTTGAAAAGTTAATGTACAGCTAAAATATATGAGCGTATTACAAAGACCGGGATAATAAGGTCCGGATCGTACAAATGAAATTCGCATACGATAGCGCTTCACTAAACGCTCTATGCCGTGCAGACAATAAAGCTGTCGTCGTCACGAACGTCAGAGAATGATGAATACATGAGAAAGGCAGAAACAAGGCAGACTCGAGGATTTCTACTTTTACAAATTGTTCTCGTCGCGTTAATATGCACGCCGCGGCGCGGCTCGCACCGCAAAATGATACGTTAAAGTACGACAGTCGGCAGTCATTACTGACACCGAATTCTACTTTCCGTCTTTCTTTGAGGAAAATCAACGACAGAGAGGCGAGCCGCGGCGGAAGGAGCTTTTCGCTGTACGCCGCTTATTCCGGCCGCGTTGGGGCGTAGACGAGGTGAAATTCGATTTTCTGCCGAGCTGCGCGAATATCGGTGTCGCTCCTCCTCGGTCCTTTTCGTCGAGCGCGCCGCGAGAGGGAAGGTCAAGGGTCGCCCGGGGAAACCGCTCGCGCTCGCGCTCGCGACATTTCACGTTTCACCGACGCAGCGTTTCTTTAGGGAAAATTTTCACACGACAAATATTGACATCGAATTCTACTTAGGCCTCGCTGCCCCGGGAAAGTAGCGCGGAAATATTAGTGCGGGATGCGTCGCATAAAAATTTTACGAGACCTCTCGATTGCGGCTCACGGCTTGCACAGTTACGTTAAAGGTATTATCTGTACACAAAGTACCGCAGAGTTCTCATCACTTATTCTCCCGAGTGCGCGCACATTCGAGAGGAAACTCAAGAAAAGTAGTTCTAATGGCCGCCTGGTAGTTTAACATGATAAATTAAGGGTGAGGTTTCAGCAAATGGAAAACCTCCAAGGATGAGAGAGAGAGAGAGAGAGAGAAAAGCTGAAACTTCTTCTCTCCCGAGGCCAATTCAAATGGAACTTTTAATGTCACAGGAATTAAATTATGTTTCGAGATTCTACGGAGCGTTTGACGTCGCGAGTGCGCAATTCACGAATGGATAACAAAATCACGCGCGTGGCTTTCGCGGGTAGAAGAAGAATTTGGAATTTCGCAAAATCCGCGCGTAGGAGGATCCCGCGAATTCTGGGGCGTCCTATATAATAATCGCGAATCCGATAACGTGGCGTATCGACCGCGTCACGTACGAATATATCAATGTGTCGCTACCGTGGCTGAAAGAAATTCTCGCGACTCTCACGACTCGGCGCTCGCGAAGATTAACTTGCGACCCATGCGGCGCTTCGCATACCGAACGTGCAACACCACATTTGAATGCTCATTAGCGAATGCCGGCGACGTCGCCCTATATATCGGAAATTCACCTTTCTCCACTTTCGCGGGTTGATTTGTGTCAAGAGAATTTACGACGCGCGTCGCTTGAGCGAGCATGCGAACACGCGCGCGCGTGCGAGCGCGCTCGGCATCCTTCGTGACATTTACAGCTCTGTGATAATTTATCATATATCATGCTTTTTCCCGCGCGAACGCCAGCGAGACTTTTACGCTGCGCTACACTTTCGCGATCCATTTGCGCCGTCGAATCTCTACGGGCTCGATTGAACATCGCGTATTTTCCCCGAGAGCGCGTTTGTCGCGCGCGCATGCATATGTGTGAATTATATATATATGTATCTGGGCAGTATGAAATTTGATTCACGAGAAATCAAGATCTCAATCGCGCGCGACGGGCTCGATGATGCAACGACCATTTCTCACCTGCTGATCGCCCGTAAAGTATGACGAGCTCTTCGCATCTCGCAATTTCCTCTCTCGACCGCCGTCTGCGGATTATCGCGGTGAATCTGCAGGAACTATCAAATCTCGGCCGAGGCGGTAAAACGCGCAGTAGCAAAATTTCTCATGGAGACTTTTAAGTAATCCTCATATTACCCTTGCCGCTTATTTATCTTAAAGCGCACCCTGTACACACCGGTGCAAACATATGCGCGTCCTGGGAAATGCACACTGGGGGATGCAAAGAGCTCGGTCGTTTTAATTATTAAAGGACTGCCTGCGCATTTTGCGATATTACGTCGTTTGGAGCATCTCATAATAAAATATAAGAAAGATCAATAAGAAACAATAATTATAAGAAGCTATCGATCTGTCGTCGGTCACGCGCGTTAGTGCGTCGCATTTTTCGGCACGAAACATGATTTGCATAACGTAGCTGAATTGTACGCGTTCGTTTACGAGCGGACGGATCCCACGCAGCGTTCGGCAGGGCAACATTGTGCGTTCGATTGAACTCGCATGAATAATTCGCGAAACCTCGCTGGCTCGCCGAGCTTTTGGTGGCCGTGCATCCTTGATGCGGCCGCTTCCCGTTTTACGTCCGCCGCTGCATTATACATCGGGCCGATCGAGCTGACGTATTTAACGCTCGTCGACTCGTTACGTCACGGGAATGAATCGGAACGACGACGCGTCTTCGGGGTGTCTCGGCTCGCTCGGACTTGTCGCTAAGTGGCGCGTCACGTGCTCGCGTAACGTCCGTCGTCACGTAGCCAGGCCATATTTCGCGAGCGTGCGCAATCCCGCGGTTGATCTAAATTGCAAATTGCACTCTCTTTCCCGCGTCGCGTGGAAAAGAAAGTTGCCGGTTCCGGCGCGCCGCGGCGGCCGCCGGGGAGATACGCCAATTTCCGCGCGCGAAAACACGTCACTGCAATCCGCGACGTCGAACGGGGAACGACGAGCAATGGCCGAGCAGTCTGCCCGAGTTTCAGCGCACCAAGCTTCAGTGAAAATGATGTCCGTCGAATTTTACAGGTCTACAATTGTTAATAATTTCAGCGTCCGCCATTGTCCGTCCCGTTCGCACGACGCTTTTCACCGCTGAGATTCGCCGAGTTTCGCCGATATTTCCGTCATTCGTAGCATTACTATTTTTATTGTCTCTTCTACGTGATCGCTTCTACGCGTCGATACTTCTTTCACGCGTCACACCTCGTTCTTCCTCTTTATTCCGAGAGCCCGCGGGGGCTCGAAAGGCGGCCCCGAGGGGAGCCGGAAGAACGTCCGGGGAATTGGGACGTCTTTTGAAGCAATTTCACGGCGAGTTCTCGACACGCCTGGGTATGCGCTGTTTATTTAGGCGGGCGGACGCGGCATACCGATGACGATGAGCACGGACTCGCGATTCGTGTAAAATGCGCGGGCCCGCGCATAGCAAAATCTGGCACGCCACGAGTCCACCCAGACAGGCATCGCGAACGGATCGCGGAGTAGGTCATCATATATCGGCAGTGTGCAAGCGTGTAGAAGAAGGCACGTGCGGAGCCTACATGCTTGCTCGTCTATACTTCGGTCAGCTAAGCATAACCGGAGAAGATAGCCGCGTATGTGCACAGCCACACACGCGGACGCGTGTACATCTTCTTAACCGATGTTTCCTCGCCGTGTACCTCGGCATTAACGCGCGATACCGTCGATGATTCATATTTTCTCGCTCGCTCGCGAATAAACGCGCGCGACTGCGCACGAGAAAAAAAGAGACGAGGAAGAGAGAGAGAGAGAGAGAGAGAACGTATTAGCGTGAACACTTTATCGGAGCTATCTCGGCGAAAGAAGCTATAAACACGATTTGCCGAGGAAATAACTTTCGCGCGTGTCTTCTCTCTCTCTCTCTCTCTCTCTCTCTCTCTCTCTCTCTCTTTCTCTCACTTTCTCTCTGTCTCTTTTAAAACGGATTCGACGTACGACGTGTCTAAAGTGCGGCTGTTTTATAGAGATCGCGCGCGCTCATCGCCGGCTGCCGTCTTCGCGATTGCAACATCGGCCGGAAACGGAATCGTCGCGGAATAAACGGCGTCCGTGTATTTTTAGTCCGGCGCGAAAACGGCGGTTAGGTTATTTAAACGTCCGCGCAGCCACACGGATGCGCATTGACGTGTCGATATAAATCTCCGATCGCGCGTGGCCCGATATATCCGATTTTTCTTCGAGGGTGAGTTGCAATTTGGGGCAGCGTTCGCGAGCTACGCGAACGCGATACTCTTCCACAACCCAAATACCAAACGGAGCGGTCTTTAGGAGCCTCCTCTTCGCGTCATGCGACGCGATGTGCCCGGAATAATAATGATTAATTGTAATTATTTATGAGATGGAAATTGCAGCCTCTATCTTTCTCTCCCTCCCTCCTCTCTTCGTCGTTCTCCTCTCAGAGTCAGAGTGGAATTTTTCGAAAATGTGAAGCGCACGTATAAAATACAAACACATTTCACGTACATTTCTTGTTAGCTTTCGTACTTTGCGGCTCCTCTAAACGGAAATCCTCTCGAGGATAAAATTCGACTTGTGTGCTCTATTTTCGAGCTCCTCCCGAGCTCCCCTCTCCCATCTCTTTGTCCCCTTGCATGTAGCTTGATAGATTCATATATTCAAATTTGATTAAAGTACCATTCAAACGCGATGCAAATGCAATTCAGCCGCGTGGTGCGAAAGCGCGTGGTGTTCAATGGTGAGCAGGAAAGAAAGTAGAAGAACGACGAGCGTGTCGCGAGGAAGCTGACCTTTGACTCTAATTATTTCACAGGCAGAAAACTGTTCGGCGGCTACACGATAGTGCCGAAGGCGTGCCGGCCTACAATGCCTCCGCGCGTCAAGTCGAGCGAGCCGGCGATATGCATGTTCAATTACGAATGCACGCGACGCAATGGCGAGGTCGTCGGCGCCTGCATGGACGGCTTCCTCTTCGGTGCGTGCTGCCAATTACCGCCGAGGAGCCCGGCGAACGGAAACGGCGACTTGCCCGCCACCGAAGAGCTCCTAGGCCTGCACCAGATCGACCACGTACCCGACATACCCATCCTGTTGAACCCAGACGGCACACCGGTCGGCATGTCGCTACCGCCGAGCGGCGAGATCACGAAGACCGACAAGCCGAGCGTCTCGAATCACTTGAACGGCGCCGAGACCACGTACACGAAGATCTCCAGCTCGAATCAGGCCTCGATGTCGCACGATGACGCGACGAGCAATCCTGAGAAGACGCCCGTGCAACCGGACGTCAGCCACTTGGCCGAGGACTTCCCGGCTCTTCTGGGCCAGCAGGAGGTCATCGACGACCTGCGACTGCCGGGATTGTTGACTCATTCGGATTCCAATAACGACATTCAGGACCACCAAGACCTCTCCGCGATGAACCCGGTCACCACGTTGTTGAGCCCTGACCAGATTCTGCAGATAGCGGACCCCGTGGATCAACTACCGGCGCTGTTCTCCCAAGGGATCAGCAAGAACAACCATAGCGATCCGGAGACGATACTGCTGAACGAGAACGGCACGATGCTCGAAGAGCCGCACAACCCGGACGAGATCTTCCGACCCGTCACCGAGACGTCGGTCGACAAAAAGGTCACACAGGCTGGCGGCAGCACGTCGTCGGGCGCTTGGATTAAATTCACCGAACGGCCGTCGTCTCCCATTGTCAAGTCGACGTCTATATCAACGCAAGGTCCAAAGTCATCAACAACGCCGATGATGACGAGGATGCCCGTGGTGACCCAGATGTACGCGAATGCGCAGAGAATTACGAGCGACCCGTCTAGCACGCAGCTGACCATGACCAACACCTACGAGAAGCTGAGTACAATCGAAAAGAAGGTGTCCACGAGAATAGCGACCGACACCAACTCAATAGCGCTCGAGGTCACCACGCCGATGAGCGTGTCAAGCGCGAAGGACGACGAGTTGGTGAAGGTGCCGACCGTCGCCTACGATGGCATGCAACATACGTCTGGCAACAAGAAGAAGGACGACGTGCTCGACAAGGAGGAGATCGCCATTAATCACATCATCTCTATTTTGAATGACACGACACCGAACTCGGACGTGTCGGTGACGCTCCAGATGCCCAGCTCTTCCCCCGTTCAGGCTTGGGTGAGCATCGACGAGACGTCCAAACCCACCCATACCAAGATCACCTCTTTGAACTACCGTCCCACGACTCCCGCAACCCCCGCCATCCTCTCGACCTTCCCTTACACCTTCTACAAGCCCGGCTCGCTGCACAGGCCATCCTCGACGTACTACAATTACGAGCTGGTTCCTACGCCCGGCATCGAGACCACCTACGTGTCGCAGCCGAGCTCCAGTAACATATACGCCTCGCGGCCCTCCACGCAAACGACTTACGGTGCCTCCAGCAGCTTTGGCTACTCTAAACGACCTACGACGAACCCTCCGGCGCCGACGGTGATAGTTCTCGGGCCGCTCGGTACGGAATTCACCACGGAGACGACCCAGAAGCCGGCCACGAGGAAGCCCTCGAGCGGGAGCACCAAACCAGTCTCCAGCTCGATTAAGACCACGCCTGTCAGACCCACCATCGTCAGCACCAAGAAACCCAGCGTATCCACCACGATCACTCACAACATCAGCACCGTCATTTCCAACACCGCCAACAACAACGTGGTCTCCACCAGTTACATCAGCGTCAACCTCAAGGATGACACCAGCAGTGCGAAACCCAGCGTCGACATCAGCACCGAGTCGATCCAAACGTTGACGAGCACGAAGACCCGGCCGAGCACGAGGAAACCCGTCATCTGGACGACGATCTCCTCATGGTCCGAAAAGCCGACGTTCAATCTGAGACCGTCGACGCCCGGCCTCAGCTGGTCGAATGTGAACCTGACGCCGATCAACACGATAGTGCTGAAAGGCACGACAGACCGTACCGATGATCGTGACTCCACGAGGTTCACCACCGTCGCACCCTGCGACGACGAGACGGCGGCGCCCGACGACCTGATCAATTTCCCGCCAGTGCGCAATCCGAATCTCAACATCTCCGTGCCGATCTCGCAGCAGGAGAAGCCTACGATCGTCGAGACGTACAACAACACCGGCTACCCGGACATCGAGTTGATCAGCGAGAACGACATCCCGACGCCCACGTTCATCGAGGATGACGTTCTGACGAACAAGGTGGACGCTTTCGTCAACAAGATTATCGAGTCGCTACAGGGCAACTTCCAGGTAACGCGAACATTCGTCCGGCCGGAGAATTTATGCACTATCGCCGCCATCGTTCGACCGAGTTACAAGTCGCTTCGGTTTTTTACACGGAAGCGCTTGAACTTTCAGCGCTTTCAGCGATAGAAGCGTAGTGCTCCCTCGATTCGCATTAAAATCTCATTATTTCTGTACCGGATCCGGCTATGGGCGCCGATAGCCCGATTACCTTTGAACTTTCAGCTTTCTCCCTAAATCCCTGCTGCCGATAAATTTTAATGAATTTGAAAAACTTTCCGTTCCGCGAATCTCATCAAGCGCTGGTACACTTTTTAGTATCGCGCTGACGCTTTCTCCTCGTCGATTAATTTTGCCTCAAGATTTACATAAACGAGCAATAAAGACGCGATAAGAATATGTAAAATCTAGGTAAATAATATGTAAAATATATAATACCGTTAATAATATTCACTCTTGGAAATAAGCTGGAGAAAAGTACCGTGAAAAGTAACGCGCGATTATCTCGTCATCACTCTTTCTTCTTTTGGCTGGCTTCTCCAGAGTTTAAGCGACGTAGTCTACATCCGCAATGGCACCACAACGACTTCGGTGACACCCGCGACCGTGACGAAACGACCGACGGTCGGAGCGAGTAGCACGACGAAGAAACCGACGCGAAGAGCCACGACTCGACCACCATCTTCCTCGGTGACGACGAAGAAGCCATCGGTGACCACAAAGAGACCTACTCGTGCGACTCAGAGACCGTCGTCGGCTGAGAAACCAACGCGTCCTACTAAAGTGACTACTTCCAAACCTAAACCGAGCACGTTGCAGAGCGTTACGACCAAGAAACCTCAGACGACGACAAAACGTCCGAAACCGACCAGAAGAGTCACCACTCCGTCGCCCAGCAGCACGGAAACGACCATACTCGAAGAACAGAGTCTGAACGCGACCGAAAGCAACGCCGCGGAGGAGACCAACACGCCAGAATTTCGGAATCGTAAGTGAGCAATCGACATACGAATGTTGAGTTTCGTCATATCGAACGCCGTACCATTTGATCGTGTCATTAATTTTCATAACACCTTCTTAGTCAGTTCAGAAAATGCAAGAATCATAAGTAACAATGATGCAACAAACTAAGAACATCTAAAAAATAAAAAATTATTCGGTGGGGAATTACTGATAACATATATATTTATATATTAATATAATGCACACATATATATATATATTTTCCCATCGAGAATAAATTTTTCTCAAGAGAGAAAATATGTACATATATTTTTAAAAATCTGTAAATTCTTACAAAAGCCATTGTTTATTTTATTCGAAGAAAAGAATGATATTTAAATAAATACGTTATCAGAATACACATCCAGCGAATAAATATTTTTTATTTTCTGGATTTTTCTCCCGGTACGAATGATTGCAGTCGTTGATTTAATCACGATAAAATGCGATAAATTGCGATCGATACTACAGGCGATAACAAGTATAGGAGAGATTTTTCGCTTTGACAGAATGCGGCATGAGACCCCTAATATCGAGGGCGGGAAAAATAGTCGGCGGAAAGGGAGCAATGTTCGGAGAATGGCCATGGCAGGTATTGGTTCGCGAGGCTACCTGGCTCGGTCTGTTCACGAAGAATAAGTGCGGCGGTGTACTTATCACCGATAAGTACGTGATAACGGCGGCCCATTGCCAACCGGGGTAAGCTAGAGGAGGATTCTCTTTGAAACATTTCGTCGAAGGCCCCAGAAAGCATCTGCCGAGATAAAAATCGCTTGAATGTTATTGCTTCGTGGTTACTTTGTCATACGTTCGTGATATTTCAGCGCGCTCCAATGAATTTTATTTCGCTCCAATTTATTTAACCCCAGCTTTCGCACGTGTCACGATGTCGGATGTATAATTTTTTTACATCGCATATTTGATTCTCTTCTGGAGTCGTTATTCATTTTATAGCGCGGAGAGTCAATTTTAATTCGAGTCCCGACCTGCAACAGCTCCGACCTTTCACCTGTCGCGATATATCGCGAAGACACGAAGACATAAATATATTCGCAATCGCCTCGTCCGACTGTTCGCAGCTTCCTGGCGTCCTTGGTCGCCGTGTTCGGCGAGTTCGACATCTCGGGCGAGCTGGAGTCGAAGCGCAGCGTGACGAAGAACGTGCGCCGCGTGATCGTGAACCGCGGCTACGATCCGGCGACATTCGAGAATGACCTGGCGCTTCTCGAGCTGGAGACGCCGGTGCAATTCGACGAGCACATCGTGCCGATCTGCATGCCGGACGACGGCATCGACTTCACCGGTCGAATGGCCACGGTGACAGGCTGGGGCCGGCTCAAGTACAGTGCGTACCATCAATCCTCTCACGCGGCCAACTTGTTTGCTCGCGCACTACGAGTCGCGTAATACACATACGCGCGGAGGGATTTCTCGCGGGACTAAACAGAAAGAGACTGGGTAGAAAGTACGAAATGGAGCGGGTTAGCATGACGCGCGTTAGCATAGCGACGACGACTTTCACGACGGTGACTCTCGCGTGACCTCGTCGCACGCGCGCCGAATTCGGGCTCGCCTATTGCGACTTTCTTCCGGCGAGATTCGCCATGGTCAAGGTCCCCGCTAACGGTACCCTCGCGTTCGACAGATGGTGGCGTACCGTCGGTGCTGCAAGAGGTCCAGGTGCCCATTATGGAGAACTCCGTCTGCCAGGAGATGTTCCAAACCGCCGGCCACTCGAAGCTGATTCTGGAAAGCTTCCTCTGCGCCGGCTACGCCAACGGCCAGAAGGACTCCTGCGAGGTATTCGCACGCCTGACGATTTCGCTCCTCGCCGTGCTCGTTCGCGTATTACCGTTCTAATCGCTAAGGCCGCCCTTTCGACCCCTCCCCCTCCCCGCGAGGTCGAATGACATGATTACTCGCGGCTACGCGTGCCACGCGCATATCGCACTCGCGTTTACGATCTTATCGCGCGCATTCTACTTATTTTTATGATTTATTATCCCGCGATGGCTTTAATCCTTCAGCCCGCAGAGGGATGCGAGGTATATACTCCATGGCCATTAACCACGTTGCTTTCCCGATCTCGCGTTAGATAGCACGATTAGTCGACTTTATCGACGAGTGAGAAATTCATATTGGTACTTTTATTTCTCTTTTCATTCCTTAGGCTTTGGTCGTACGCGATTCGATTTATTCTTATTTCTCATCTCGAGCAGAGACGCGTCGGTGTGTTTCGTCTCTCAAGAGAGTTCCTCGTTCCTCCACAGAGGAACGAATAGAATTCTCTCACCCGTCCCGTAGCTTCGCTTAGCGTCAAAGTCAAGCTCCAAAGGAGCACCGTGTGCAGAAATTAATGATGTCTCTGTTGTTTTAGGGTGACAGCGGCGGCCCGCTGGTCATGCAGCGACCGGACGGCAGGTGGTTCCTGGTCGGGACCGTTTCTCATGGCATAAAATGCGCGGCCCCGTATCTACCGGGTGTGTACATGAGGACGACCTACTTCAAGCCCTGGCTGCACAGCATCACCGGCGTGTGAGGGGCTCTCCCTTCCCTTCGGTTGAGTCGCGTATTACGTGACGTATCACGCAAGCGGCACCAGTTTGCCATTTTGTATAAATGTACAAAGGAATACTAATTTATTTCCCCAGTCTCGGGATAGAGCGTACGAAAGCAATTAAGTAACACGCCCACGGAGGAAGCCGGGGGGGAGGGCTTTTCGTCCCTTCGGCTCTTCGGATTCTTAAGTAACAACGAGACCTCGCTCCTTCTCCTCGCACGCTGTCGCGTGCGCGTCTTCTTATTATTAACATCAGCGGAAGTGTAAACGCGCTCATAACACACAAGCGACAATCTCGCGCATCTCGTCTGAATACGAGCGACGAGAAAGAAGAGAGAGAGAGAGAGAGAGAGAGAGAGAGAGAGAGAGAGAGAGAGAGAGAGAGAGAGAGAGAGAGAGAGAGAGAGAGAGAGAGAGAGAGAGAGAGAGAGAGAGAGAGAGAGAGAGAGAGAGAGAGAGAGAAAGAAAGATACAGAGGAAGAGAGGGAGAGAGACAGGGTACACGGTGTTCTCGAGTTATTTAAATTTCGAAATAGGATTCCACGCGGAAACGTGGTCGCGAGGAGGCACCGCTTCTCGACGCGCAAGCAGTGGCCGACGTTGCATTTATGCGCTTCAATGTTTAAACACGTCCTCATGTGCACGTCTGTGTGCGTGTGTGCGCGCGTACAGGTACTCTGTTGCGCAGGGAGCCGGCTTTAAGGCGGATCAGGGTGTGTGCGCAGCTGAAGCCCCGAGTCTCGAAGTCGGAGATCTGCCGAGATCTGCACGAACGACGTCGTCTGTTTGCTGTTTCTTCCCACGATCGCAGAAGAGGAGATGCAAATGCAACCTTACGCGGTATCTCGCGGTGGTCGCTGCTCTCGGGGCTCTTTCGACGATTTAGCGACGATATTTCCTCGGCGGGAGTGTCGAGAGGTTCCGTCTGCTCGGAACCTCGGGGAATTAACTGGCCCGGACAGTTTTATCGTCGCGGAGAATCTTCACTACGAGCTAATGAAGATTCATTCGAATTCGCACCGGGATCAAAGTCTCGCTCTGTCCGGGGTACGCGCGACGTGAACTTTGACGGCGACCTCGCGTGTACTCGACACGAATAAATTCCACGTCGTGTGCCCCGCACACCCTCCTCGTATTTCACACCCCTGCCTCGCGGACGTTCCGCGCCGGCTTCGAGTGTACAGGTACAGGTGCCCGAAGACGAGCCTGCCAAACCTTTATTCACCCTTCTCTCTTTCTCTTCCCCGCCCCCTCTCTCGTTGTTGTATAGACGTTATTTATTAAATACATTTTTGTACGACACAAACGTGTGGTTATTTTATCACGTTTCATCGACACAGCCCGCCCGTACGGAAATAAAAGCAACCTGACGTCATGGCGCGACGCGACGGCACATTGCTCGAGAGATGACACAGCCTCATTAAAAATAGCGGTTAATTCTCCAAATCGATCATACTTTTAATATCCCCCCCGGTCATTACGTGTGAATGACGTCATCGCGGCATTGATAACGTCGCTTCCGGCAGTTCCGGCATAACTCTTCCCATTGTCCTCACAACACGTGCCTCGGCTGAAAGGTCGTGACACTAATAAAGATCTTCGGAACGGTGGCACATAAAACATCGGACACCTGCCTACGCGCCAATTCCATAATGCGCGTTTCATTTACAACGAATGTTGCCGGAAGTCACCTGGCGATTCAAGTACCGTCGCTGCGACGATACCGCCAGGTGATTTCACGTATTTCTGAGAAAGAGAGAGGAGAGAAACAACACACCGATGGGACTCCGATCACGTGTAAATTGGTATTTATCGCTTGGAAAGCGGCTAAAATAAATTTCACCCTCAAGATTGTATCGCGAACGACAGCCCGCGCGATTATATCTTCTAGTTCCACAATTTTCCACTATCATTTTTATTCTCGGGTATTTTTTTTTCTCGTGTTAAATTTAACGCACTTCCCTGCTGTCTCATCATGCCGCGGGAATTTGTTTTAACTCTGCATTCATCTCATGAGCGGAGGGATAAAGGTAAAAAATGTGTGGGGGCGCGAAATGTCGCGATGTCGATTAATTGTGTCTGTGAACTCCGTTGGGTGTAGTCGTGCGTGAAGCAAGCTTGCGAATAATTTGTCTGCCGCGGCGGCAGAAAAAATTCCTCGCAATTGCGGCTATCGATATCGCATTACGTGGACGTCATTAATTCCTCCCGTGAACTCGGCGAGATAAGAGCTTATGTAATGACGTACGTAATGACGCGTGTTAATTGTAGAAAGTAAAACGCCGATCGTGAACACCGTTCTACGCGCAGAACGTAGCGTCACGTGACGTAAGCGACGCGGCCATGAATCTACAAACGCTCGACAAGAGAGAGGTAATAAAATATATAGCGTAAAGAATTAATCAGTCCTGCACACGTATATGAAACTAAAACAATAATTCATGCGCGCGTACACAGACCATTTCCGCAGTCTTTCCGCTCCGCCGACTTTAACGCTTTGACGCGATTAATTTTAATATTAATTCTTTTTTGCGACTGCAAAATATCGCATGGTGTGCTGCAAAATTGAATTCAACCGGAAATCCATGCAGGACGCGTATTGTACTACGCGGATCGCCCTCGGGCGAGCATCTAACTCTCTGCAAATGTTCACGAATGAATGGCCAGTGTCGCGTTTTCCCTTGGCGAGGGAAGAAGGACGGTCGGAACGGCGGCTTAGGAAGAACCATTGAGAATCGCATGTCGCGCGTGGTTGACCCCGGGGGAAAAATTAATTTTACCCAGACGTCAGCGAGAGCGAGCAAGAGAGAGAGAGAGAGAGAGAGAGAGAGAGAGAGAGAGAGAGAGAGAGAGAGAGAGAGAGAGAGAGAGAGAGAAAGAGAGAGAGAGAGAGAGAGAGAGAGAGGGAGAGAGGGAGAGAGAGAGAGAGAGAGGAGAGAGAGAGAGAGAGAGCTGCTGCTGCGTGACGTTCCCAGCCGCGTAAATTTCCGTTCGTGCGCGTTTTATTTACACCGCGCGATGTAATACGTTGTTCTCGCCACGGTGGACGAAGCTTCGCGGAAGTCTGGGAAAGATCTGTTAGCCCCTGCGTGACACGCAAGGCCGCGGTAACGTTCCTCGAGGTAAAACGGCGAGACGTCGCGAGCGAAAGAAAGGAACGAAAGCGATTTAATGGTGCGTGCGACCCGATGCGTACGAAAAGGTGAATGCAATGCGTCTTGTGTTCACTCACCAACGTTTCGTTACACAGGTGGCTGCCTCACGTAGATGAACGGTGAGTCGCGCTGAGTCGACGAAGAATCGCCGGCGAGGCGACTCGTTCATGGTGATCCTTCTTCGCGAGAGACTCCGCTCGTCCCATGTCTTTTCCTTTCTGAAAAGAGAAGAGCGACGTCGTAACTGGGTCTCGCGGGATTAATTGTTAGTTGCTACGGAGACATTAAAGCTGAATGTCGAGAAATTGCTAGGAACGACGGGAGAAAGAAAGAAAGCAACTCCTCTGCCGCGGAGAAGTTCAATCTCATTCAGTAACTAGCTAGTGAATGAAGAACCCGAGGGAAATTACATAAAAACGAATATAGCTCGATGAACATTTACTCTCCTCGTATGATGACGGCAGGAAAGCGGCGATTCGTTCGACAAACAAATATCGCCAGCGAGACAATGCTTCATAATTCAAGAATTACACATATGCGAGAGTAAAAATCTCCCGAGTATCCTCTCTCGAGGTCTAAGAGGAGGCAGTCGTAGGCGTTGTTGCGTAACATTCCTCCGAACCCCTCTCGGTCGTGAGGACTTTCGATCCTCGCTCGGATCCTCCTCGGTTGGGAAATAAGCTATCGAGAGTTGTTATCGTAAATAAAGGACAGAAAGAGAAAGATCGATAATTTCTAGACAAATATTTTAATATTTATTTCCAAGGGATTTTTTGGACGGCTTGAATCGATTCTCAGCTAATCGTCATTTATACCTTGACGAAGAGCAACCCGGACAACGGTTGAAACATAGCGAAAGCTAGCGGATGAATAATCCAATTTTCCGTCGCGTGCTTGGATAAGTTCCCTACATCTTTCCGCTCGAGCCAAGCGACATTTGCCAGCTGCAGCATAAAAATCGCCTCTTCGAGTCTACCGTCGCGCTCAACAAGTCCCGATTTCGAAGACCGTTCCGTCGTAGTTGAATTCCTTGAGAAGGATCCCGGTTCTGTCGTAAGAGAGCGAGCTTCATGAAAAATTCAGACGTTGCTAAATGACGGCTCTTGTGAGGCTTCTTGCCGGAAGCAAGCTTCAAGCGAGAGGACGGGCTGACGCTGACGCGATCGTTTCTGCTTTCGCAAACTACCCGGTATACGTAGTACACGGGTCCAACGCTGGGGATTCGCGGGCGAGTATATGGAGCAGGCACAGGAGCGAATCCGCCCGGCGGGCACATCAGGATACCTTGGATCAATACGGCCAAGAGAGAGCGAGGTAGCGGCGGCGTAAGGAGCGCGACGAGGAGCGGGCTAAAACGTAGCTAGGTAGGTAGGTAGGTAGGTAGGTAGGTGTAAATGAACACCGACAAACGAACAAGCGGCAAAGTGTCCTGGCGCGAGAGGACGAGGGGTTACCCGGGCAACGATTACTCACGATTTTTGGGAAATACATTCAAGATAAATGTAACCAGTGGCACTCTGGGAGGCCGGGAATGCCCCTAGCGCGAGGAACAACCCTCTGAACCGAGCGGAACGAAATTATCACGTTATCTCTGACCTTTCGCGAAACGCGGCCAACTCGCTGTTCCATGGACTACGACGCGCCGCGTGCTTCCTAAACGTGTTTACCAGTATCCCGAAGGATCCGGACGTCGCAATTTGCGAGCGGGATGAGCCCGGTGTTGCCATACGGTATTCTGAATAAGTGAGAGAAAAAAAAGAGACCGCCTCTGCGGCGCGAGGTGTTAAACACTAAATGAAACGCTTCGATTTTTCCGCCGAGTACTCGCGTAATTTCTCCCCTCTTCGTTTCTCTTCCACCCTTCTTTTGAACTACGCGTTACTCGCGTATCACGTATCGCTGCGACGTTTAATCGTGTCACTCGCAATGCATCATTCATCATTTATCAGTGCGAGAGTTGCTCGAATGGACTCGTTCGAACAGCTTCCTCTTAGCCTGCCATCGGCTCGGGCCGCTCGATAGGAAGCTGAAGATCTGAATGAACAAAATGTCACGTAGGTCGTGATCGAGTGGTGGGAAAAAAGGGAAAAAATGGGGGTGGAGGAGAAGAAGAAGAGAAGACGGAGCGACGGTGGCGCATGCGCCACCGTGTATATGCGCTCTTGTGACGGCAACCGGAACGACGTAGAAGTATAGATTGCCAGAGCGAGTGCGGCACGAACTCAGTCCTCCAGCGAGCTCCACCGAGGACTTGTTGATCCTGTGAAAGCCGCCGAGAAGTACCCTGGTCTCTTCCTGGTCGAGAGGTGTGACGGCGTTCCGGACGAGCTGATCGTTTTGTAAGTGCGACACCGCTCAAATTCGCACGTAGACGAGGTGCTTTAGATGTTTCACATGTCGTAACGCTGCGGACGTCATATCGCGAGTGTTTCGCCATAGTGTGTTATCCTGCCTGCACATTGCGCTGGCTGCAGGTCGTCCTTGGCGTTGCGACGACCTCGGCGAATTTGCAGGGTTAAAATGGCGAGAAATGCGAAAACGCGATTGAACGAGTTAAAATCGGGGCACGATCGGGGAGAAGAGAAGAACTCGATCGCGCGGCGCGGCGAAAAGACGAATTTGGGTCACAGGAAACCAGCCACTAAAACCAACCATCGAGCTTATTTGTACGCCGCGGGTTTCTTACGTCGCGAACGACTCGCAGCAAGCTCACTCCGATCGTTGTTTTATTTGCAATTCATTCAAGCGACGCGCATAGAACGCTGCGTAGCGATTTTACCGGAGATAAAAAATAGGCGAGATTGATGAAACAAGAACTATCGGCTACACATATACTGGAGGTTATCGTTAGTAATGGCTTAACGTATCATGCATACATCGAACTGTTCATATCATAAGTTGCAATTAGTCCTTGACCGGAATGCAAGAGTCGCGTGTTACGTTCCGCGTTATCTTTCGGGGGGCTTAATTTGTCGTATCGCCGTAATCCCGTGTAATCCGTGAAACAACTTTTTATCGGATATCCACGCGTGTCGGGATCGCTAATCGCGATCCCTCCGAAGCAGGTAATTCAGGTTGAACGTGTACGATAGGGATTACTCTGGGGTGCGCTCAGTTATTAATTGCATAATTAATACCGCGGAGCGCAGATATCCCGTGCAGCATCTCCCGGCCGCGGTATCTTGTTAACAGTAAATCGCGCGAAAGAGGAGAGAGATACATTCCCGGGTGCGGCGATGACGCCGACGAATTGCGCTGAGAATTCTGTTATCGCCGGCGATATTACGAAATCGTAATATCGGCGATCGGGAAAAGATCGCCCCGAGAGAAGTAGTAAAAGCATCGCGTCACTGACATCTGTACGATAAGCCGTCGTGTAAAACGGGTTCGATGCTAACGGCGAACTGCGTCGTCTTACGGATCACTGCTTGCAACAAAACCAGTCGAGTAAACAGCACGAAGATAAATATGCACCTGCGAGAAATACGCGAGGCAGAAAAGGCTGCCGCAGAATTCGTCGCAATTTCAACGAATCTCTTCTCGTTTTTCTCTCTCTCTCTTGACTTCGCAATTTGATCGCCCCGTATTTGTCTCCTCCGCGGAGGCCGCGATGCGGTCGTTTTGCAGGTTGCGTCGCAGATGCGTATTTAGTTCTAAATGGCGCGTCTTAGACAGATTCAGTTTTAATCAACGACTGGCAATAGCGTTTTCAGACGTTCCCATTCTCACGAGGAAGCTACAATGTAAAATATTCCCTCAGAAATTTTTCTCAATCTAAAACAATCTCCTCTCCGCCTCTGAAAATCGCGAAATGAATCTTCCACGCCCGTTTAAAAAATATCACGTTTTAACAACGTTTCTCAAACGATCGTTCGGTGTTTGTAAAGACGACTTGTGTGTACACCGATGAGAGACACTTGCATAACAATACGTAACGGTCGCCCTTTAATAACGTCTCTCTCCCTCTCCCTCGTTATAACCGGGGCTTTCGCCTCTCTCGTCTCGGCGCCTTCAATGAAAAGATTCAACGTGAGTCCACTCGAGCGGCCTTTCTTTCGCCAATGATTGCAGAGCGCCGAAGATCAGTACACCTCCAGCGGCATGAACGCGTGTGCGGTGATTACGCTGGTGCTGGTGGCGAACACAGCGTATATCGGCGTCGAGGCGTGGGGTGGCCTCTTCAACCGCTTCAGCCCCGAGATGCTGTCCAATCTCGGTTACGGCGGTCACGGCAGCTACATGAACCGTCCGGGGCTATTACAGGTATGTAGAAAAATCTAGCCTTTACTAGCACGCCTCAGCGCCCGTTGGCATTTTCATCGGCGGCGCCTTTTAGATTTCCGTAGCTCGTCTAAAAAGACGTCGCAAGGATGCGCGAGAGACGCTCTCCAATCTATCGACCGGCCTTTAGACGTGCCTCGAATGACGACGATAAAAATCCCGAAGCACCTCGTACATCGTTTCGGCGGTCTTTCCGACCTGCGGGAATCTTTATCGGAAGCTGCGGATTTTGCCCCTCGGTCTTCCCTAGAAGGACCTCGGGGCCTCGAAAGACCAGAATAAAAATGTTAGAGTATTTTTCGCATTGCTCGCGGTTTGATTCAATTGACGGATATCCTGCCGCGGTAAACGGGTCACGTACGATCGATATTTCATTTTCGAGCGACGTGCGCTCGCACTTGCATAACCACCGCGAGGAACTCTCCGGTGGCTACGTTTATTTCGCTTTTCCACTCGACGTCGTTCGTGAATTAACCTCGAGATTGCGATCCGGAGATTGAGCGAAATCACCCCCGCGGCGCGACGCGGCCCGCGTCAGAAGTTACTGCGGAGACTTTTACTACGTCTCAGCCGTAGGTAAGGAACTATAATCCCGCCGTTTATTTGAGCTCGATAATATCCGCGCGCCTTTCAATTTGCAACTTTGCTCGCTTACGCGAGATAATCTCCCTCGTCGCGTGTGTGTGCGCGCGCGCGTGCGCATATGTGTGTGTGTATGTGTGTGTAAAATTCCAGCGAGCTATACAAATTATTTTATTAATAGCATGCATGTAATTACATATGCGTTACCGTGCTCGTGTTAAAGTCGGTATGATTATTTTATTTTGTACGTTCGCTCGTTCGAACGGAAGCACAAGGTAACGCGTCGCGAGTAAGCAGAGTTATGTGATAATCTGCGGGCGAAAGCAGCGCGTTATCGTCCGCATCGGAAGTCCGCGGCAAGATGCGGCGATAAACATCGATTTCCGCAAGATTGGAAATATGAGTAACCCTGACAATCGGTGATGGATAACTGAGGAGAGTGAGAAGAATCGGCGAGGGGAGAAAAATCGCCGTTCCTCGGGAAATTACGACGCAATTCGCGCGGGCGCCGTTTTGTCTTACATATCGGATATTCCATTATGCGGAGCGTCTTCGAAGTTCCAAGCTCGAGTTTAACGACGGGAACCTCCCCGCGAATTTGAAATCAGTTTTCTCCTGGCCGGTTAATCAACGTCAACTTGAAATGCGCGAAATTGTTTACTCCCGTCGAATTACCGCTGCGTTTTCGAGCTTATTTTCCCCCGTTCTTCTTTGTTATACCTTGAATCTTGAAAGAGATTTATCTTCGCGCGATCTTGCGAATCAGTTCTGCCGCTCTAAGTGCTCCTTTATAATTCAACACTCTGAGAATCTGTTCGCGATGCTAAGTAATACATTTTGAACGAAGCAGTCGCTTTCGGACGGATACAACGGCATGTATGGGGAAGGTGCAGAACCCACGGAGGAACCTTGTTACGAGAGGAAATGCGCGTACAACGAACACTGTTGCCCAGGCACCATCTGCATGAATCCCGATGGAGGTAAATGAAACAGTGCGATAACATGCCTCACGAAAAATCCTTCATCACTCGTCAATCTAATCTGCACTATTGAGAGTGACGAAGAGTGCCCTATTCTCTCTCCCTCGTCCTTTGAAGTCTTTCACATAAGAGACAGAGAGAGAGAGAGAGAGAGAGAGAGAGAGAGAGAGAGAGAGAGAGAGAGAGAGAGAGGGAAGGGAGAGGGAGGATAATCGCGAACTGGATGTTCCAGTTATCGGAACGTGCGTCGATGACCTTGGAATGAAACAAGGCGAGCTGTGCAGGCGGGACAACGATTGTGAGACCGGCTTAATGTGTCAGCAAATTCCAGGACGCGACGCGAGATCGTGTCAACCGCCGTTGACTTCGAACAAGCTGTATAGTGAGTTGAATGATCATCTCTCTGGGGAACCGCGGAAGAGTTTCGCGGACATTGACTTGAACGATGCATCTGTTACAGACGAGGAGTGCAACATGTCGAACGAGTGCGACATCAGCCGCGGACTGTGCTGTCAGCTACAAAGACGACATCGGCAAACACCCAGGAAGGTAAGGATCTATCTCGTTTGATTTATAGAACGTAAGGATAGCCGACGATTGGAAAATGAAAAAAAAAAACCACCACTTCGTTCCTTTTATAGCGGCGCGACTTTTTAAGAGTGTCTATGTGAGAGTTTGTCTGAGCGATCTAACTTTGAAACTTTTTCAACTTTTCCAACCCCTGGTTAGCCCTATCATTAATTCGAAACCGCACTTTGCAGGTCTGCTCGTACTTCAAGGATCCCCTGGTCTGCATCGGCCCGGTGGCGACGGATCAGATCAAGTCCGTGATCCAGTACACCTCCGGCGAGAAACGCATCACCGGACAGGGCAACCGGCTGTTCAAGCGAATGCCGCCGTTCGCCTAAACACTCCGCTCACGTACCTGACGGCACGACGAAGGGGAAGTATACACTGATAAGCTACAAGAAAATCAAATCCTCCTTTAGTCGTTGTGAAGAGTACCTAGACTAAGTCTGTCGACTCGACATTATCTCAATTTCCTTTCTAATCCTGACACATACACACACACACACACACACTGCTCCAAGTCAACGATACATCGGGAAGTACATAGGCACATACATATATACACACATACACACACGTACATGCACACACACATATATATGACAAAGAGCATAAGAGCCATGCGACGAGAAGTGAGACTAAGTGTTACCTCGGGGAATAAAGACTCGCGCATGGCGCGATGCGCCTTCGAGGTTGTTTCTTCCTCGAATAGCGCGACTGACAAAAGTCTAGCACACATATCATAGCAGCCCGTCTCGTAGGTCTCTAAGGAATAAGGGACACGCTAGCGTAATGATAAGGAAGAGCGCCGTTCGACGAAGGTGTTTCTTAATGATTTTTAAGGGTAAGGTACACATAATATGTGGGCCGTTTGTGTGTGAGAGAGAGAGAAAGGGAGAGAGAGAGAGAGGAGAGAGACAGAGAGAGAAAGAGAGAGAGAGAGAGAGAGAGAGAGGAGAGAAAGAAAGAGAGAAAGAGAAGCAGAAGAAGCAGAAGAGGAAAAGAAAAAAAAATTCATCAGGCAATCAGTCCGCCGCGCCGGCTGATATTTCCTTTTCGAGACATAGTGAGAGATTAGCGAGTCACTTAGTCGTTCGTGATAAGTCGTGGCTACAGTAGTAAAGATAAGTACGATAGTCGAGAAGAAGAACACGGCGGGGAGGCGTGCACAAACGAGGATGTGGAGTACTTGTTATCGTCGCAGTATCAGCATTGTTCAATTCCGTTTCCGTTAACTCGACGACCGATCAATTTTTCTCACGCTGTACAGGTCGAGATCGAGATAATGTTTTATCTCGCTCGAGGATTCCCGAGACGCTGTAGCGAGATATTCTCTCAACGAAACGCTGACACAACGATGTTGTCGAAACGCGTGACTCACATCTTTAGTTAAGGATCGAGAGATCCCCCGGCAAAAGTCAGGATGCCAGCAATCACACGGGTCGTGACGAGAGGTACGCTCTTCGGTGGCTGACTTTGGGTCCTCTCTGCGAAAAGATCGGCGTCGGGTCTCTTGTGATGTGAAAGAAAATTAAGATAACCTCTCCACGGAGCGAAATAGCATTCTTGACCGTGAAAGTATCCTCCATCCTACACTTGCCGACTTTCGCTAGCAGAGCGCAACGTATAATTTTGAACACGAAGAAACCAGAAATTGGGGACCCTGAGAAACCGACGAGTCTGCCATCGCGCGTCTCGTTACACATTCAAACGCACAGATCGTAGTATTCGTTCTTTTTGCCGAACGGTCGTCCGGCGTACAATCGCGGTGCGAAACGCGAAATGTCGCGCGGACAGTCTCAACGGCGAGAGAGATATTTTCTACGGGGAAGAGAAGAGGGTGAAGAAAAGCGCGATCGATGCATTAGCTCGTAATCCGTTCAATGTTTCCGTGAGTCTACCTTTAGGAATCGTATACTTAGACGTTTACCCGACTACGTCGGATAATATTGCATATCTATCCGTATTTCTCCCCTCCCCCCGAAAGAACTTCACACTATCAGTAACGTTATACTCGTAATAATGTTAAGTCGTATCGTGGAGTTGCAGGAAGAAGCTGAATTTTATCGTAGGATGATTATCACATCGTAAACGGACACATATCAAAGAAGGAGGAAGTTTCGCTTCGCTAGCTTATATTCTCAGAGATATATAGTGTTATATAAATACATACATATATATATGCGTATATACCATGACAAACAAATTAAAAAATGAGAAGCATTTTAACTCTTAGTGGAAAGAAAAATAAAATCTAGATATGGATACTGTTCGTTTAAAGCAACAACAAAAAAAAAGAAGAAGAAGAAGAAACGGGAGGAAACTCAAACAAGTAATAATAAAGGAGGGAAAGTTACTAAAGTATCGCGGAAATCGCTCTGTTAAGTATTTAATCGCGGAAATCGCTCTATCGAGTAATAATATCGTGGAAATCGCTCCGTTAACTGTACTAATGTTAATGAAATCGTAATACTAAATATATAATTGTGTCTGTGGCTATCTTGTTACATGAAATATTACTCTGTGGAAATTCGTTAATATTAATCGTTACTCGTCAGAGAAAGCGCAACATTAAAGTGCGACGCTCGTTCGAGATCGTGCAAAACGTTCTTTCCGAAGCGTGGAAGACTCAAGTACGATGAACGCGTTCGAGAATCGTAACACACACAATGTCGTTTATGAAAGCTCGATCGTGTGGAAAGCGCCAAGCTGAGCGTTTCGCGAAAATCACGTTCGCGATTCACGAGCAACAGCGGTGAGCAACGGCGATGCTCCAATCCCAGTATGCGTAGAGAGTACCTGTCAACTATCTCGTAAAAAAGAAAAAAAGGACGAAAAAGAAAGAGAGAGAGAGAGAGAGAGAAAAGAAAGAAAAAAAGGAAAAAGAAGGAGAAGAGAAACTCTCAGCGAACCGTCGCTTTTCACGCCACTGGTGCTATAATCGCCGAGAGAGTCCCCTGAAGGCATTATTACGATTGTAATCTTCTAACTCTCGATACTTCTCGGAAAACCAGGAGAAAGAAAAACGTTAACCTACCTGTGTAAGTGAAACTCAAAACATATCATGCGAAATGCCTAATGCATTTAAGAGAGTTCTAAATATGAATGTTAACTACGAAAGATATATATACTATACATATATTATTATATCCTATTGAAATTATATTTTTATCTTCGATCCGTATGTATATCTAAGCTCTCTACATATTTACACAATATTCATATATTTTCTCGAGGTGTGTATATATACATATGTGTATATATATATATATATATATATATCTCTCTATAAAGTAACACACACCCGCCCTGCTATACCGTACGTATGTGATGTTCCGACGCGAACTCGCGATTTGACTCGGTGATTTTCTTATGGATTAATTTTGCACGCGCTCGTGTGGACTTTTGTTGCCTTGTGTGCGGGTTGTTGCGGGTCGATAAGTATCAATTTTGACCGTAACTGCGAGTCGAGTTTTGCAAAGCCTCGTTATCTCTTACCTAATGTCAACTTTTTCATTATGTTCCAAAGAATATAGATCCTTAAAATGTGATATGTTGAGCTTTAAGCATTTTTGATGTTACAAACTAATCTTTAGTTCATTGTTTGAGGTACTGTGTGAAAGTTACATCGCATAATGTCAATTATAAACATTATAAGTACTCTTCCGAGAATTCCGATATAAATGCTATTATTTATTCAGTCAACAAGTACGGAATGAAGTTTCCCTCTAAACACGCGTTGAAATTGTAGTCGTTTGTGATACAGTATATGTTAAACTCCTATCCTTTCCCATATATAAAATGATACTCTAAATGTTTGCGACTGTCTGTGTATTTATGAGACCGATTGCTAATTTCTATGGTGGCTGTGCGTCATCGAGTTCTATCATTCTGTCGAGTTGCGATCAAAGTTCGTGTATCGTATAGCTTCCTATACGTGTAAATTTTTTTCTCAAGTATCTCTGTTTCTCTGCTGATTATCTCCTTTCTCTTAGTCGGACTAAAGAAACGATCGAAGTGACATTGAAACGTGAACTGCATACAAAACAAAATACATATCATAGCCTGTAAGACTCTTTGCCTTGTAAGGAAGTTCGGACGCATGTTCACAAAATGGAACACAAAATGGTGGCGAATAGATACATACATACATACATATGTACGAGCTATCGCAGGTCTCAAGGAAACTCGGCCGCTTGGCCGTTGAGTCGAAAGTACCTCTATCGAAAGAATTAATTAATCCCAGCGTAAATTTTATGTGTATGACATATATGTAAATGTGTATCGTTCAAAATTACAATATTAAACAAAAAAAAGAGTTCTAATAGCTAAATGTGAAATACATGATGGTGCATACGAAATAAACCGAATATATTTCTGTCATTCCTTCTGGCTGTCAAGTGTTTTCTCCTCGTATATATACGCTCATAATCAATACTCGGATTTAAATTGTAAAGTATTGTATTATACTTTCGCGACAGAATTCGATCGTAATTCCACTTGTAATTTTATATACCGTCTAGCTATCCAAAAGACATCTTGCGAATGTCCTTGGGCACGTCTTTAAGGCACTCTTTGGAGGATTGTGTTGTCCGGGTTTGAGGAGATATATAGGTGTATCTACGTGAATATGTATGCGACATAAATTTATACATTATTTATAGATCGAATTTTTTTCATAACCATAATTCCGTCCCGAATTCTGTCGCGAGTTCGGTAGATTGTTTCAAAGGGACTTTAAATCCTAACCTTAACTTCAACCTAATATCAGAATGTATAATTGGAAAACGTTCTCATTTATCTCCTTCTCCCTCTGATATTCGCGTTAGCACTTACCCCCGCCATATTGGTCGTTCCGTGTTGAGTAAACCCTCGATTCCCTGCAAAATTTCACAACGTGAATTTGACTTAATCTTCATCGACTCGCTTGTTTCTTGTAGAAATAATGGGAGAACTTTTGACATACCTGCTCGTGACGCAATATTTTGCTCGTTCCTTCACAATTATGGTGGATAAGAGCATGCTCGAAACTGCGAAACGAAGAGCGTGTTTAAACGGAGCCGCAATGCGAACTTGTTCGCGAGTGAAATTCGTATCTCAACAATTGTCGCATAATATCGATCGAAGATCGATATCGATTTCTCTCGCGCCATGTTTAAACTGCGCATCGTGCCAAAGTGGTAATTCTAAAATACATTCCTACAGTCGAACGGACAAACGACTGTTTTATAATAAATGGATGCATTGTAGATAAAATGTTATTTAACTTCTTTCCGTTGAAGTAAAAAAAAAATAATTCCCTATAATGCGCAAATTAATATCTGATATTGAACGAGTGTAAAGACATCGCAACGCCACCTACCATTAACTTTATTAACGCTCTTTCGTCGCGGGTAAAATAGTTCAATTACCTATATTTCTGATATGTATATGCAACATGGACATTTCGCGTTTTCTGCACGAAACGTTCTTTAGGTTATGCGTCGTGCGATTACTTTACAGATGCCTCGAGGCATTCGCTCGATTTCATTAACGTTTGACTTAAACCCCCCGAAAAATTCACAGACTGGATGTGACATTTTCTCTCACCTGTAATATGAGAATCATATTTTCGCACAAGTATTTCGAGTTTTGTCAATTGTCAAAACTGCATGATCGGAAATGATGACGCTACGTTTGTTTGACTGTCAGGTAAGAAAGAATGTGCCTAGAAATTATATTCATGAAACGAATTACTATGCTTCTTGTGTCAGATATCTCTCATTCGACGAATTTTATGTCACCGCACTCGCGGTAATATTATATGACAGTGAAAACGAATTTGATTCTTATGCAATCTCTGCTGCTGTTTTAGGACTATCCAACTCTGGATGCTATGCCAAACATGTATGCAGAGAATAGTGAAATAGAGAATTATGATTATTTGCGAGAGTGCATCGGTCATTTGGAAAGTAAGGATCCTGGTGTCAACTTTTCCGTTACTTCCACTAGCACTTCAGATATTGGCTTACAAGGAAACAGCTTGGATGACGTTAACTTGAGCAACATTGACTTTAATTTTATAAAAATTGAAAACTTACTCTTACAAAATGTTGAAGAGTCCGAACATGGTACAAAGAACAAAGAGGTGAAGCAAGAAAAGTCAATGGATATCAATATTTCAGACTCTATAGAGAATTTTGACACAGTGAGTCTAGGTTACAACGCTTTCTCAAATTTCTCTGATAACTCCATTAAACAGTCAGATGATCTATCGACAGTTATCAATAACAATGAATGTTATACTTTTAATAAGGACTTAACAGCTCAGTGTACAGATATAAAGCAAACAACAGAGTTTTATAACTGTTCCATCAAACCTCTTACAAAAGATAATAATGGTAATATAAATTCCAATATAAACAAAGATAGCAATTGCGCAAAACAAACTATTTCATCTGAACTAAAGCATGGAATAAAAATTTATAATCTAGAGCAGTCGGATGTAGATGAACAAGTACAAACATGCGAGCAGTGTCTAATGACATTCAGATACAAGAGGCACCTAGATCGTCACTTGGAAGGTCATAAGAAGAACAATTGCCCTCATTGCAATGACAAATTTGCCAGACGGAAACATCTGGAGGTTCACTTGTTTCGTGCACATGGAGAAAGAATTATCAAACATCCGTATCTATGTGACGTATGTCCAAAAAGCTTCCCAAAACGCGCCCTTTTAAACCACCACAGAGCTAAGCATAATTATCAAAGCGGCAGAGTATGTTCAGAATGTGGAGATATGATAAAATCAGACACAGATAAAAAGGAACACGAGGAGAACCATTGTAAGAAGAAACAGTTCAAATGTGAACAGTGTTCGCAAACATTTAGTATCGAGCAGACGTATTTATCCCATATGCAGAATCACAATAATCACAAGTGTCCCAACTGTGAGGTAAGTTTTGCGTCCAAGAAGAAAGCTCACGAACACTTCAAGGCGGTTCACACCTCGAAGTCGAGCGAGTCTGAAACGATAAATAACGGTGAGTATTAAAATTATATCATTGAAATCAACATTTCATCGTGTCGCCGCTTATCACACATTGTGTTGTCTTACAGATCCGCATTATTGTGCCAGCTGCAGGCACAAGTTCGTCAAGAAGGATGACTATTTTCGGCATCTGGAGTCGGCGTTGCACCTCAACAAAGTTAACAGGGATGCACCTATAAAGGCTATATTCTCGTGTACGATCTGCTCGAAGAAATTATTTACGCAACGGGCCTTAGATCAACACATCAGACGCATACACAAGGGCGAGAAGCGATTTGCCTGCGACATATACGGGTGTACGTTCCAATGTGCTAGACGAACCGATCTGGATAGACATAAGCACCTGCACGTGGAGGAGAGGAACGTTGTGTGCGAGCACTGTGGCAAAACGTTTACCAGCGTCAGCATCCTCAAGGACCACGTGCTCTACATCCACAGCAAAGAGCGGCAATTCATATGCGAGGAGTGCGGCAAGGCGTTCAAGAGGAACAGTTTGCTTAAGAGGCACAAATTGTCGCACGCGCAGCACCGGCCGTTCGTTTGTATGCAGTGTAGCACTGCGTTTAAACGTTCGCACCATCTCACTCGTCACATGGAGGCCTGTCACAGAATTACACTGGAAAAGAAGAAGAAGGTAATGTCACGCAAAATCTTATATTATTTATCCAAGCTTGACTTTTATTGCTTTTTTTTCTTGATAAATGCAGATAATACGATGGATTTTTATATATGATTATAATTTATTTGCGCTCCCGAATAGGTGATGAAGCTTATGAAAACGGAAGATGGTAATCTTGTGCCAGTGCCGGAAAAACCAAAACGATCGAAGTCTAGTAAGCTAAAAACCAAGAAAGAACGTAAACCGGCCATGAAGCAAAAGGAAAAAGATCAATCGATTATGAATATTAATGAACAAATTGCGAGTGTTGAATTACAACCGCAGAATCAGCCTTCGTCGACGAACTCGGAGGAAAACGCTGAATGTCCAAATTTGTCATTAGAACTTACAAGTTTGCCTGTAATCGATTCTACTCCACAAGTTCTTTCGCTAGTAGATATTAACACAGGACAAATGTTGACTGTACAAGTCACTAACCCGGAATTATTATCAAACAACGAGCTTGTTGATCAGTTTGAAACTAATTGCAACGAGATGTTGAATTTACCTGATTATCAAGATATAGAATTTCAAAGTAGTCTTTTAAACGCGGATCAAGCGTGCTATGACAGTACGAGTTATTCGGAGGTTTCTTTAGAAAATATCGAGGATTCGGTCCCGCTTATGAATAACAATTGTAAAATAGAAGAGATCGAGAGATATTTGATACGTGAATTCTCGCCATTTTATAATCTCTAGACTTGCGAGACGAAATAGTAGTGTATGTATACAGTTATGTTTGCTCAAGTTTCGAGTCTGTTGTAGTTTTATTCGAATGCAAAATCTAGACACTGTTATTTTGTTGATAAAGAATGTTAAAGGAATTTTATAATGTATACATACATATTTCTGTATTTATTTTATATCGCGAAATACAATCTAGCACTTGATTTTATTTCTTAAAGATGAACGAATATGTATTTTTAATATCATGCATATTTTTCGTATGAGACAAATTTCACTACCTCGTAAAATAAGTGAGCATTTGAATCGCACTCTTAAAAATGTCGGCACGTTGCATATGTACATATGTAGAAAAATATAACAAATACGTAGATATATGATCTTCAATATTTTTAATGATCAGTAGATTATATATAAAATATGTGATAATATTAAGTAATATGTAGCTTCTATTTAATTTTGTATAATATAGTTAATATATATCATTGAGCAGTTTTACGAAATTTCAAACACAATTACAAATACATATAACATCACCAACTGTAAAATTTATTTATCAATATTTTCTTTGTACAAATACAGATGTTACATATATATATATTTATATACACAATCAAATGCACTAACGTTGTCCATTAATGGTAAATAATATGCCATAACATAATAATCATATGAAAAATTGAATTTATTCTTCATGAAATAAAATATCTGAACCACATGACATATTTATTAATATATAATAATTACACGTACGTAATTATATATATATATATAAAATAGATAAAATATTTTTTTATAGAAATACAAATCCTTGATTGTAGGGATCGGACAACATTAATGCCGCTGATTGTACGACTATTACCCATAGTTTTCGAACAGAGCATTGTATAAAGTACTGAGAGAATCGCACTTTGTGTAATTTTTGATTATTCTGTGTATTATAAAATTGTAACTCTTGTATTAGAGGCGTCAGAGGGAACGCTTATTTTAATCATATATCGCGAGTATGTAGCTGTTTGATGTAATTATTAGATATCGGCAATGTAAATATGAATATAATGGCGTGTTCTTCGGATGTGTTGCACTAACGATGATACCTAAAGAAACTTATATATAGTACCAAACTTCAAACATTTTATCGGATTATTACTCACGTAACTTATTCTCGGCGTGTTAAAACAATTTATAGAATATTATTTTACCATATATTTAGAAACATTTAAAAATGAGAAAATGTGTATTCTTTTTTTTTTAGTTGGGAATTATGCTCTGTTCTCATGAGAATCGTTATTTTCCAACCCGTTAATTTAATATTTAATTTTATCCGCTCCTGGTTTTCATTATTTTCATGTAGCAAACCTGTATGCCAGCAGACCAACTAGAGCAGCAGCAGATGCTCCTCCGATCAGACCCCATATAGCTTTGTTAGTTTTTTGTTTCTTTTCCATATTCATGTTCTTTGAATTATTAGTATTTTTATTTGTACCAAGCATTTTACGATACAAATGCTTTTCGTGAAGAGCGTCCTTAGCATTCTTTTCCTTTAAGATTGCCAATTCTGTTTGTATAATTTTCGATTCCGGCTCTAATTTCGCAGCTTGAAGCAAAACTAGATAGGCTTGCTCGTGTTCTCCTTTATAATGTAATATCTTCCCTACAATCAGAAATATATATATACAGAAATTATACTCTCCTATTAAAATTTTGAAATAAATCTGTCAGAGAGAACATAATATCGGTTTATTTAAAATTAAAATATCAGAGGTAGAAAATTTTTTAATACCTTTCCTAAATAAAGCTTTTACATTCTGTGGCTGGCAGTTCAGGACATTATCTACACTTTCCAGGGCCAAGTCATAAGCTTGTGTCTTCATTTGTGAGGCTGCTAAATTATTATATACTTTCATGCGATCCTCCAATAAATCCTGCAATTCAGCATCACCAACTGTTTCTTCCTTTTCATGTTGACTCGAATTTGTAACATTCATCGTCGGTGATAGATAATCTAATGCTTTTCGGTAACATTGTATTGCAAGAGATGGTTCATCCCGTATAAACCACCAGTTTCCACGTTCTCGTTTTTTGTTCCTTCATAAATAAATGTTTAAACATTACACATAAAGGTAAATTGAATTAAGCGTACACAAAGCTTTTCATTCTTAGTACTTGTGGCTCAATACAAAAAGCAAACATTAAAAATAATACAAAAACAGATTCTTAATTTATTAATAAAAAGATTACCCTATTTCTTTTCTCTGTTTTATGCTTAGTGTATCTATATCAGTCTCTAAGTCAACAGTTTTCAGTTCAACTGTATATTCAATAGTAGCATCGGGTGGTATATCAGGTCTTTGTCCAAGTATGCCATAAGCAAATCTAGGATCAACTTCAATCACAGCAATTTCATTTACATCCATCATTGCAATTGCTAAATCCAACCCCTGTAATTTAAGTATAGAATTACTTTACAAGCAGATTAATAAAAATACATAAATAATAAAAGATTTTGCTTAATACCTGTACAACCTCCACATCTCCTAACTGTATAACAAAATCCTCATAATTCTCCACTATTTTTTGATTATTTTTAAGTTTGCCAATTATTTTTAAGGTACATATGTCACCTCTATTTGGCCGTGTTCCATTCTTGCCCTTTAATATGACTTTCTTTTTAAGTTGGCCATTGCCAAGTATATCTATCCATTCATTTTCTAGATGATCAGATAAAGATGCTTTTGTCACAGGATCCGTAGAATCGATGTTAAAATTTAATTTCTCCTGAATGAAGTCTGCCTGGGTTTTTCCATCTTGTATTGAATCCTTGCCCATCTTAAACAGGTTTATTTAAATTTCACAACTATATATTTTTCCATACTTGCGACTTTTTCTCAATATCTCTGATAGACATATTGGAATGAAGTAATTTTAATTTCTTACTTTTCTTATTAAACGAATTTATTGTAGCTGAACAGATTAATATGTGTAATATGTCAAATATTGTACGTGATCATATTCTGAAGGAATATGTTCACCAAACTTGTTCAGCATAAGAGCTCCCTACAGACAATTTCTATTTGAGTTTCTTCCAGAAATTTCGAAGGATTTGAAACGTCGAATATTTCAAAACGAATCATAAACAATATTTTGTACGCCCTGTTTAATCATTCGATACAATAGCATGCATCATCATACCATGTTCACGGTGATGATAAATAAGTGTACGATAACGGAAAAACGCATATTCATTTGATGTAACAAAAACATCAAAGTGATTAGTTGAATTAAAATGCATTTTGTCCGATTCTCGCACTGACGATGCGAAGGACAATGAAATCGTGAACGTGTCTTTTCCATACGTACCTCAGCGCTTTCGAGATTACCGACGGTCATTGGAAATGTTGGAGAAATCGTTTAATTTCTTCTCGTTATGTGTTTATTAATTCAGCACTCGGCACCGGGTTGGCCTCATACGCGATTAATCGCTTGAAAGCGGAACAATTCTCAAGATCGATAGTCGAACTGTTTCGAGTTATTTCGTGAAATTTCCTGTTATCAGAAAGGAACGTGAAAGCGGCCAACACGGCGTTTTCGACGACACCGACTTTCCGCACTAGGAAAAGGCGCCATCTGCATCCATTTTGAGAGGGGAACTACGATACTACATTCACTTTCAGGTTTCGGCGGTAAAACCTGCATATGGTGGCAGTCCGTGCTACATTCACTTTCAGGCAGTTTATGTCCGTGCTACAACCACAATAGCGTATTTGACAAGCACGGTCTCACGCATTGTTATGCATTTGTAACATGAATTAACCTGTTAACATGCACAAAAAAAATAAGAATTGAGATTGTATATGATTAATATCATGAAGATTATATACGATTTATATCGATATATAAATATATGATAATAAGATAATATTTTGTGTGTACCCAAAATTATTTTTCCAAAATATTTCAGCGTTACGTTAGTATTTATTTATACTCCGGCAGGCGTTTCTTAGCGTAGTTGGGTCCGTGTGCATGTGTTGTATTGAAAGTGGGCGTGACGTACGTGTGCATATACGCACTCCCACACACATACACACACAAACACACATGTGTCATACACACAGATAGAATCTCAGGGTATATGCTTAAACATTTTCAATTGCCATACGTTTCTATGTAACAATGTAGTCGGCACACACACACACAGAGAAACTGCTCCCGTCTATCAGTCTGAAGTCCCGCCCACCGCTCGGCTAGTTTTGACGAGCCAAGCGAAAGAGAGAGAAAGAGGGAATGTGTTCTCTCCATCTCGCTCTGATTCGCAACGTTGCCGAGATTGGGCTTCCCAACACACGGCCGAGACTGACGTTTCACTCTCGGCGTGAATCCAACGAGATGATCAATAGCAATCGATTTCGACTAAACTCGTTGTGTCGATAGATTTGTATGACAAAATAACATTGCTTTATTTTGGTACCAGAACCAGGCCTATGTCTCTAACCGATTAGGAGATATCGAAGGTTAAAATTTTCCAGCCTTCCTCCGACGATATCTCCGCTTCTACTGGGAGTAGAGAGTCGCCATTTACGGCAAAATGTAGGGTTTTGAGAGGACTTTAATTTGGTGCCAGAATCAGGCCTGTATCTCTAACCGTTTAGGAGATATCGAAGGTTAAAGTTTTCCAGCCATTCTCCGTCGATATCCAGCCTTCCTCCGCCGATATCTCCGCTTCTACTGGGAGTAGAGTCGTCCATGTAGTCGAAAATGTAGGGTTTTGAGAGGACTTTAATTTGGTACCAGAGCCAGGCCTGTATCTCTAACCGTTTAGGAGATATCGAAGATTAAAGTCTTCCAACATTTCTCCGTTGATATCTCCGCTTCTACTGGAAGTAGAGAGTCGCCATTTACGGCAAAATGTAGGGTTTTGAAATGACTTTAATTTGGTAACAGAGCCAGGACTGTATCTCTAACCGTTTAGGAGATATCGAAGGTTAAAGATTTCCAGCCATTCTCCGTCGATATCCAGCCTTCCTCCGTCGATATCTCCGCTTTTACTGGGAGTAGAGAGTCGTCCATGTAGTCGAAAATGTAGGGTTTTGAAAGGACTTTAATTTGGTGCCAGAACCAGGCCTGTATCTCTAACCGTTTAGGAGATATCGAAGGTTAAAGATTTCCAACCTTTCTCCGTCGATATCCAGCCTTCATCCGTCGATATCTCCGCTTCTATTGGGAGTAGAGAGTCGTCCATGTAGTCCAAAATGTAGGGTTTTGAAAGGGCTTTAATTTGGTACCTGTCCGAAGCCTGTATCTCTAACCGTTTAGGAGATATCGAAGGTTAAAGTTTTCTAACCTTTCTCCGTCGATATCCAGCCTTCATTCGTCGATATCTCCGCTTCTATTGGGAGTAGAGGGTCGTCCATGTAGTCCAAAATGTAGGGTTTTGAAAGGGCTTTAATTTGGTACCTGTCCGAAGCCTGTATCTCTAACCGTTTAGGAGATATCGAAGGTTAAAGTTTTCCAACCTTTCTGCGTCGATATCTCCGCTTCTACTGGGAGTAGAGAGTCGTCTATGTAGTCCAAAATGTAGGGTTTTGAAAGGGCTTTAATTTGGTACCTGTCCGAAGCCTGTATCTCTAACCGTTTAGGAGATATCGAAGGTTAAAGTTTTCTAACCTTTCTCCGTCGATATCCAGCCTTCATTCGTCGATATCTCCGCTTCTATTGGGAGTAGAGGGTCGTCCATGTAGTCCAAAATGTAGGGTTTTGAAAGGGCTTTAATTTGGTACCTGTCCGAAGCCTGTATCTCTAACCGTTTAGGAGATATCGAAGGTAAAAGTTTTCTAACCTTTCTCCGTCGATATCCAGCCTTCATCCGTCGATATCTCCGCTTCTATTGGGAGTAGAGGGTCGTCATTGTAGTCCAAAATGTAGGGTTTTGAAAGGGCTTGAATTTGGTACCTGTCCGAAGCCTGTATCTCTAACCGTTTAGGAGATATCGAAGGTTAAAGTTTTCTAACCTTTCTCCGTCGATATCCAGCCTTCATTTGTCGATATCTCCGCTTCTATTGGGAGTAGAGGGTCGTACATGTAGTCCAAAATGTAGGGTTTTGAAAGGGCTTTAATTTGGTACCTGTCCGAAGCCTGTATCTCTAACCGCTTAGGAGATATCGAAGGTTAAAGTTTTCTAATCTTTCTCCGTCGATATCTCCGCTTCTATTGGGAGTAGAGGGTCGTCCATGTAGTCCAAAATGTAGGGTTTTGAAAGGGCTTTAATTTGGTACCTGTCCGAAGCCTGTATCTCTAACCGTTTAGGAGATATCGAAGGTTAAAGTTTTCTAACCTTTCTCCGTCGATATCCAGCCTTCATCCGTCGATATCTCCGCTTCTATTGGGAGTAGAGGGTCGTCATTGTAGTCCAAAATGTAGGGTTTGGAAAGGGCTTTAATTTGGTACCTGTCCGAAGCCTGTATCTCTAACCGTTTAGGAGATATCGAAGGTTAAAGTTTTCTAACCTTTCTCCGTCGATATCCAGCCTTCATTCGTCGATATCTCCGCTTCTATTGGGAGTAGAGGGTCGTCCATGTAGTCCAAAATGTAGGGTTTTGAAAGGGCTTTAATTTGGTACCTGTCCGAAGCCTGTATCTCTAACCGTTTAGGAGATATCGAAGGTTAAAGTTTTCTAACCTTTCTCCGTCGATATCCAGCCTTCATTTGTCGATATCTCCGCTTCTATTGGGAGTAGAGGGTCGTACATGTAGTCCAAAATGTAGGGTTTTGAAAGGGCTTTAATTTGGTACCTGTCCGAAGCCTGTATCTCTAACCGTTTAGGAGATATCGAAGGTTAAAGTTTTCCAACCTTTCTCCGTCGATATCCAGCCTTCATCCGTCGATATCTCCGCTTCTATTAGGAGTAGAGGGTCGTCATTGTAGTCCAAAATGCAGGGTTTTGAAAGGGCTTTAATTTGGTACCTGTCCGAAGCCTGTATCTCTAACCGTTTAGGAGATATCGAAGGTTAAAGTTTTCTAACCTTTCTCCGTCGATATCCAGCCTTCATCCGTCGATATCTCCGCTTCTATTGGGAGTAGAGGGTCGTCATTGTAGTCCAAAATGTAGGGTTTTGAAAGGGCTTTAATTTGGTACCTGTCCGAAGCCTGTATCTCTAACCGTTTAGGAGATATCGAAGGTTAAAGTTTTCTAACCTTTCTCCGTCGATATCCAGCCTTCATTCGTCGATATCTCCGCTTCTATTGGGAGTAGAGGGTCGTACATGTAGTCCAAAATGTAGGGTTTTGAAAGGGCTTTAATTTGGTACCTGTCCGAAGCCTGTATCTCTAACCGTTTAAGAGATATCGAAGGTTAAAGTTTTCCAACCTTTCTCCGTCGATATCTCCGCTTCTACTGGGAGTAGAGAGTAGTCCATGTAGTCCAAAATGTAGGGTTTTGAAAGGGCTTTAATTTGGTACCTGTCCGAAGCCTGTATCTCTAACCGTTTAGGAGATATCGAAGGTTAAAGTTTTCTAACCTTTCTCCGTCGATATCCAGCCTTCATCCGTCGATATCTCCGCTTCTATTGGGAGTAGAGGGTCGTCATTGTAGTCCAAAATGTAGGGTTTTGAAAGGGCTTTAATTTGGTACCTGTCCGAAGCCTGTATCTCTAACCGTTTAGGAGATATCGAAGGTTAAAGTTTTCTAACTTTTCTCCGTCGATATCCAGCCTTCATTCGTCGATATCTCCGCTTCTATTGGGAGTAGAGGGTCGTACATGTAGTCCAAAATGTAGGGTTTTGAAAGGGCTTTAATTTGGTACCTGTCCGAAGCCTGTATCTCTAACCGTTTAAGAGATATCGAAGGTTAAAGTTTTCCAACCTTTCTCCGTCGATATCTCCGCTTCTACTGGGAGTAGAGAGTCGTCCATGTAGTCCAAAATGTAGGGTTTTGAAAGGGCTTTAATTTGGTACCTGTCCGAAGCCTGTATCTCTAACCGTTTAGGAGATATCGAAGGTTAAAGTTTTCCAACCTTTCTCCGTCGATATCCAGCCTTCATCCGTCGATATCTCGGCTTCTATTGGGAGTAGAGGGTCGTCCATGTAGTCCAAAATGTAGGGTTTTGAAAGGGCTTTAATTTGGTACCTGTCCGAAGCCTGTATCTCTAACCGTTTAGGAGATATCGAAGTTTAAAGTTTTCCAACCTTTCTCCGTCGATATCCAGCCTTCATCCGTCGATATCTCCGCTTCTATTGGGAGTAGAGGGTCGTCATTGTAGTCCAAAATGTAGGGTTTTGAAAGGGCTTTAATTTGGTACCTGTCCGAAGCCTGTATCTCTAACCGTTTAGGAGATATCGAAGGTTAAAGTTTTCTAACCTTTCTCCGTCGATATCCAGCCTTCATTCGTCGATATCTCCGCTTCTATTGGGAGTAGAGGGTCGTCCATGTAGTCCAAAATGTAGGGTTTTGAAAGGGCTTTAATTTGGTACCTGTCCGAAGCCTGTATCTCTAACCGTTTAGGAGATATCGAAGGTTAAAGTTTTCCAACCTTTCTCCGTCGATATCCAGCCTTCATCCGTCGATA